TTTGTCATCATGCCTTGGGTCAATGTAGCCACCTAGAAACTTGATCATTCTTCGCCTGAACTTTTCATCATCCTCATCATCAGGATCATCATCACCGTCACCATCGCCGTCAGGAGGATTGGGACCAGCTTTTCCTTTTCTGGGTGCCTTACGGTTCCTATCCCCTTCAGGTTTATCAATTGGATCAGGTGGTGGTGGTGGTCCACCTCCCCCATTTCCCCCGTTGCCGTCTCCTCCATCCCCGGGATCGTCCCCATCAGGCGCGTCATCGCCCCCCGGCTCGAAGTAGTCCATCTCATCTGGGCCTATTTCGGTCGGGGCGTATTGATTGGTCGGTGCTGGGGAATTGACATTGTCCATGGGATGGTTATCTCGGCGACGATTATTGGCCTCTCCTCCCGAAGGGCGTTCCTCAGCGGAAGACCTTGCAATATCCGACTCCTTCTTCACTTGAACTGGGACTCGATACGATGGATCATGATAAATGATTTCAATACCATCCTTTTCATAAGTCTTGGCATCAGGTGAAGTAAAGTTGATCGGCGTTCTTGCAATTGGAGGTCGGGCTACATTGGTTGGAGGTGCTGCGGGTGCAGCCTTGCGGGTTGGTGGAACAAACTCAAAATTTGGGATCTCCGTTGATTCATGGGTTCCGGCTGTCATAGTCATGGCGGCAGTTTCGACAATAGGACTTGGACGAACCTGAGCAAACTGGGAATCGAGCATGCTTTGCAGTTTCAGATTATGTTGCATCTGGGCTTGTACCATGTGTTCAAGCTGTGCAATGCGCTCATTCTGAACCCTTCTCTCTTCCTCAGCTGCTCTCTTCAACTCAATGATCTCTTGCTCCTTACTTGATAGTGATTGTCGATGGTTGGCATCAATGACACGTTGATATGCCTGAATTTTCTCATTCATTTGAGCTTCACGGAACCTTACGTGTTCGTGCGCCTCATGCTGTAAGTTCTCTTTATATTGGGCACCCGCATTTAAAAGTTCTTGTTCTTTAAGTCTGATAGCATCTAGGGCCCTCTGACTTTCAATGCCCTCGCGGACTCGCAAAGCTTCCTTCAATTCCTCAGTCTTGGCCGTGTGGACAGCTTCGGCCTGGGCTTCAGCGTGGGCCAACACCTCACGATGACGGAGCTCGGCCGCTGTTTCCACAAGGCTTGTCATTGCAGGATCATGTGAATGGACATGCAAATTCTGCTCGACAAAATTCACTTGAGGATTATCCATTTGCACATTGTGATGGAAAGTGTTGTGAACATTCATTTGGTTCAACTGGCGAGTCGGCGGCCCACCCTCCCGAGCGGCTTGGGGAACATAACCACGGTGGTTGAAACCCACATGGGAAGGCACAATTGCGTTACCCATGGGTGGGAAGTGGCGACGTTCCCTTAGGCTTCGTGACTTATCGGAAGATGGTGGGGTGCTTATATCAAAATTAAATGGGGTGTCGGTTATAGGCAAGTTGCCGGGATTCGCCATGGCTGCGTCAGAGGATGAACGTGTCCCTACGCCCTCGGTGGAAGTTCCCGAGGGGGCCGACATGCCTAGAGAAGAGAACCTAGCTTACGGCTGATAACCTGTTTTACAGGTTAAACAACCTGAAACTACCAGCTAGCGCAGCTTGTTTTCTTGAGCCATAAGCACGAAATAGTATAGGTGAGAATGGTAAGTATGTACAGTGATACATGTGAAAAACAAAAGGCAACCCTAATCCGAAATTAATGCGACACATCTGAAGTGGGCAGTGGAGATGGGAGAATGCAGGTAAAAGCCTGCACAAATTGACTCCTGCCATGCTTGAAACGATCGCACGCTCTTGATGCTACATCTGTCCAGAAGTCACAAAAACTCAAAAACCCTCCCGAAACGCGTCATGGCGCGACAGTCTTAACCACCTCAAAGTGTACTTTCACCTGCGAAAAGCAGTATAGAAACCACAGAACGTGGGGGCAGAAGCTGAGAAAAAGCCTAGGGACGTCTGAAAACCATGGTAAATATGACGCATTTGTGTCAATCAGAAAATCAAAAACCATTAAATTGCAGGGACGGTTTTCCACCGGCGGGATGTTTGAGGGTTTGTGCATGTTTGGCTTTTCCACGTTTTGAAGCTTGGGAGGTGAATGCCTTCACATCCTGCTTAGTCTTCACTAGCATGCTGGTAGGGGCGCTTGGACGGAGCTGCGCAGACTTCCCCCTTCTGCTTGATCGGAGATGACTCACAGCAAACTGTGTACATACATACATACATACATACGTACGTACGTACGTACGTACATACATACATACATACATAATATACATAATATACATAATATACATAATTTACATAATTTACATAATTTACATACATACACACATAATATACATCCACATGCAATATTTCATCAAGTTTAACAACTTTGACTTTGCCGTGCTTCAGAGTCTCCAGTCGTTTGCAGTGTGGTTGTCCTTCAAGAGAAGTTTGTGTCCAACCAGTGCAATTTGGTAGGTTAGGAAGGAGGTTTTGTGATCTTAAACTTGTTGCACTGGGGCGCGGGCACACACACACACACACACGCAGACACTGAAAGGCTTCAGGCAGATTTGGGGTTGGATTTTTATTCTGTTTCCATGATCGGATGTAAGGCTTCAAACCTGAGCTTTTGACATGAAAAAGACAAACTGAACTGGTGGATTTGTGTCACCGGCTCAAATCGCCTTGAACATCCAACAGCTACGCAGCGAGTTCTACTTCATATTCAAATATCATCCTCAATGTAGTTTCTGCTCACCCGTGTATATAAGTCTTGTTTGGGCACTGGAGACCCTTCGTCTTTTTTTGCTCTGCGAGGCACTGTCTGTGGGAGTCGCAACTTTGCAGCAGTCTCATGCAAAGTTACCCTTGTCAGCTTTGCATTAACCAAAAAGAGTGCTGGACTAGCGCAGGTGCCAGCAGTGACGCCATGTGACAAGACAGCAGTGTCCCCAACACTTCATTGCTAGGATATGATATATTCATTATAGAGTTGGGAAGGCAGATCAGAGGGCAGACTCGGTTGATGAATTGTTTTGGATGCTGTTTTGTGGGACTTGCGACCTCCCGCGGGCTCAAGAAAAAAGCCCAAAGTGGCCCACATGCAAGGTCGCGCAAAAGTACTGTTTTTTAAGATGATTGACTGCAAGGCAAGTCATCTCAAATCTGCCGCTCCCTTCAAAGACTGCACACCCCTGCTAAATTGAAGTTTTCAAGCATTGGCATTGCTGGACCAATTGTCCATCATTTTGACAGGCACCCATGGCTTGCTACATGCAGTACTGTACATCTTCCCCATCCTAGATGACAAAACATGCCAAGAAGTTTCAACAAGAAGCAGACACTCAGCTTTGGTGATGTTGAGACTGATTGCATGCTTGTGACGGCCCAAGTTGTTTCACATGCACAAACATCGGGGTATGTGAAGTTACCGTATTACGGAAGTTGTGCAGTATGTTTGACTTTGAGCGGGGCCCAAAGGGCATGGGAACTTGTGGGTCTGCAGTGCACCTAAGGTCTTGGAACAAGATATCCAAAGAGACCCAAAAAGTATTACACCGGCAAGAGACCCTAAACAGTGTCGGGAGTAGGAAGTCAATTTCCCTGATACAAGCAGCACTAGCTACGGAACAGTAGCAGATCAGGGCAGACATTAGTGGAACTGCAGCAGCAGGATTTTGTTTTGGCACAGAAGCAACACTATGTCTACTCATCAGGACCAGAACCCCATAGCAGGACAGCTAAGAGGGTTTCAATAGATCGTCAAAGAACGACTTTTTATATAGAGGATCGCACAAGATCTTCATACAAGAACTTCCAGAAGATCCCAGAAGAACTTTCATACAACCACCGGCGCAGAGCATCTGCAAGATCTTAACGCAAGGACCTCTTTAGAATGATTTCAACCAGATCTCCACAAGATCTTCTGACAAGGACCTGCGCAGGATCATGCAAGAATCTCTTTGAAGAGGACTTCCCCAGGATCTCCGCAATCTTCCTATAAGGACCTGCGCAAGATCATGCAAGGACATCTTAGAGGATGTCAGAAAATTCTTCACAAGGTCTTCTCATAAGGACGGTCCGCAGCAGAACCATAAATTTAACATAAGGACCTGTACAAAATCATGCAGAGACTTCTGAAATTCTTCACATATCACGGACCTCCAAGGCTGCGCCATGAAACGGGCTCAAGATGGTTATAGGAGGGCCTTCCCAAGAACTCACGAGACCTCTTGGCCAGGACTCACAGAATCAGCGATAATCTGCACCGCGCCATTGAGCGACCCGACACGCACAAAGTGCCGAGAGCGTTGCGCGATCGACATCAAAAGTCGCACCATGCCACAACGAGAGCGATCCGACAGGCGCAAAGTTCTGAGAGGGTTGCGCGAGCCATGTCAAAATTCTCACCGCGCTACAACGAGAGCGATCCGATGCGCACAAAATGCCGAGATGGTTGCGAGGCTATATCAAAATTCGCACCGCGCCACAACGAGAGCGATCTGACGTGCACAAAGCCACGAGAGGGTTGCGGGAGCACATGTTAGATTTTCACAAAACATTGCGTGCACAAAAAATGTGTTTTAGCTAGGTTTCGGGCACTTGTTTTAGTCGAGGTCTGCAAAGTATTGCGCCTGCCACGAAAAATGAGACCAAGGCATCCGAAGTGCTGCACCTGCCACACGGAACCCAAAAAAAATGGGTGCCAGATGGACCCTGATAAAATTATTATAGAACTATTTGTATATCTATATATATATATATATAATTTATCATAAGTTATACTCACGTAGTTATATAAATGCATTTGACTCCCTCCAGTTCTGCTAGTCGCTTGCTAGTCGCTAGCAGAAAAGATTTGGCCCAAATTTCAGGCTTGGCGGCGGTATTCCTGTGGAGGTGGAAAAAAGGGCTCAGTTGAGTCAGTGCACTGTTCAAATTCATTTCCACATTGGGCTCACGTGCTGCCTTAAGGATGTCAAGCACTTGTACAGCTGCAAACTGCGTGGTGAAAACGTGCCAGGCGGCCTGGGACCAGTCCAAGTGCGACTGCTGTGATGAATTCACACTGCAGCCTGCTCAGTCTCCTCAGTTCACTCTTTCTGACTCTTTCTATCTTTCTGGTGATGGGAAGCCGCTTGCAACCGGTGCTTTGCAATGCCAGGCAAAACCATGCAACACAAAGCAACATGCGCATCATGCAACATGCGCATCATGCGCCCAGGCAAGCGTATGCAGGTGAACTGAATCGCCACTGTTTCCCAGCTTCTTTGCTCCGCCAAAAAGAGGACCTGAGACGGTGAAACTCTGTGCTTCGAGTCGGTCTGAACATGTTTGAACACATCTCAAAAGTTTAGGCTGCTAGTGGTCAGGACATCGTTGTAGCAGAGGCATCTGATGGAAGCCCTACAGTTCCGGACGAGGCTTTGCAAGGACCTAAGATGGGCTCCGAATGGCGGCAGCATCACAAGGGATCGTTTACCTACAATATCATACAATATCCATCAATAGCTTACAGACAATTCTGAGTGATTATTGCCTGTTGTGAGTGGGGATTTCAGTCATGCATGCTTTCTATCTCTGTCCACAACTTCAAGAAGCGTGCTTGAACCCAGGGAGATCCTTTGCGTGCCGGGCTCAGAGTGAATGACGAAACCGTGCCCTTATTTGGCTTGATCTGGGAGTTACCTCCTGGAGAGGTGCTGCAAACATCTGAAAACAAGCCATGCTCCTTTAGCATGTTTAGACAAGATTGGCATAGATTGGCCGAGCATGGCTAAGCCTTCTGCTATGCTTTCGGCTAAGCCATGCTAAGCCATGCCCGCCCAGCCTGAGCACACACTCCAAGGCAAGTGCCCTTTGTCGCAGTAGCGTGCTGCGTGCTTCCGGCAGCTTTGACAGGATGTTTTCCTTTTCTACCATCTTCGACCTGTGACTTAGCACTCTAGCGTGCAAGGCAACAATGCCCAGCTCACATAACTCCGTGGCTGAAGCATGCGTTTTGTGAGTTGAGCTGTGCTGTGGAGAGACCCTGACAGGCTTTTGGGCTCGTGTCCGCGGATGCTCTGAGAGCAGCAGCTGGAAGCCTTTGCCTCAGAGAGAGAACCACAAAGAGAGAGAGAGAGAGATAGAAGCCTTTACCGGCAGATGGCCCTCAATGATGCGCTCCAACATGCAAATTTGCCCTTTGGTTCTGTCCCTGGAACTTCTTCGGAATCTAACAGGCGGTACGGCTTTGCGTGGGCAGCTGCCAAGGTTGGAACACGTCTTTCATGGTTGTCTTTGGATGTCTGTGGCATGTTCTGAATTCAGTTTTTAGAACCTGTTCAACACGTGCAAAAAGTTTTTTCCTACGGGTCAGCGCCTTTACAAAAAAGGCTTGCGTTTGATCCTTGGTGTGTTATGTCGAGTTCCTACTTATATAATCTTATATAGTGAACATGCCTTGCTGAGACGTTCAGAGTAGTCACAGGTGAGATGCTTGCGGTTGCAAACCCCGGAAGAGGCGCTGTGGGGAAGTTATGACAGTATGGGGTGCTTTGGATTATGATGGTCAATTCCTGCTGGTTAGACATGCTTCGTTCGTCTTTGCACATTTGCACATGTGCAAATACATTTGAACAACTTATATGATCGATGCAAGCATGTCGGTATGTAGATATGTCGAGTCCAGAACACGCAAGAGGTCTATAATCTATAATATAACATAATATAGCATGGTGCGATATCTTAGAAAGCCAAAGATGCTAGTCGTGTCTTTCGGCATACATTTACAAATATATTCGTACATACGTGCATACAAATTAACAGGCGCATATTATTGGGCTGTCATGGACGTGATACATGCATGGTTTGTATAGTGGTTGCGCGGCAAACTCACACACACAGATATTATTGTGTTGTCTATCAGGATGAATTTGATTCGATTCGTTTCCTCCATCATGACAACGTACTGTCATGACACGTCATGACGTGCACCCCGGACTGCATCCAATTTTCTGTTCTTTTGTTTGTTTCTTTCATGTAACAGTCGACTGAAAAACAGTGACCGGAAACCGTTTGTAGTTTGTGTGGAGCTGATTGGAACGCGACGATCCTGTGATTTAACGTTGGAGTGCTTTGGGCTGTCTGGAACTCTTTTGTGATGTATCATGGACTTAAGATGAAAGTCGAGCCGTGCCTGTATTTATCAAAGTATTCAAAAATTCAACCTTTGGATCCCCTTGCATGTGTTGCTCAGCTATGCACACTTGCATACATCTGGAGGATGCCTTCCACTTACCTTTGAGTGCGCGCAAAATCGTTTATTTTCATTTTTGATTACTCTTTGTGTGTGTGGTTGTTCTCTTGTCAAGTCAGGCAATGGCATTCTTGCAGGTTGTATGGGCTTGTTTGTGAAGGCACGTATGGCAACAAGTATCGGTAATACATGGCAGTTTTGGTACGTGCAGGTGCCCGATTCCATGATCACCCTTGCCAGGTCCAGCCTATTGACTTTTAGTTCGACATACTCATGCTTATATATAGGCTCAGGAATTGTGGAGCGGGCATAAACCACCCGTTGGACTTGGAGATTTTTCGGTGTTGTCTTCGGTCCATCGCTCCATGTGGCGTGTGGCTGCCGTGGCGCGAAGTCGTCAAGCTGCCCTTTTGGATTCACAGATGAAGAATTGCCTTCATTTTGTAAAATCACCTCACCTAAAACACACATGTATAATAGCATACACTACAGCATTGCGGCTCAGGACAAAAGGTGCTTGAGCTGTCTAGCTTAGCGGTATTTTTCCCACTTTTAGGTTTATCAGTCTATTTGGGTATAACTAGGTTAACCCCTGCTGAAACCTGAAAATACAGGTTATCAGCCGTAGTCTCTTAAAGCCATGGAAAGGACAACTGGAGACACTTCAGGTGGAGGTGCCCTTGTCCCCGCAGCTGGAGCATTGTCTGCAACAACTGGATCACAACAAAGCTTGCCGGCTGGGACAAACCCCACGCCCATGTCAGTGGATGAAGGTTTCTTCACACAGCCTGTGCAAGCGTATTTCCAGTTCGTGCAAAACAATCTTACCTACATCAACGAAGGTAACATTGATGCTTTCAGGCAAGAGGCGGAGGAGAGGCACACACATCTCATGGAGCAAAAGGTCCAGCAACTGCACCAAGAGTTTGAGGGAATTTGCCTTAGCGAAATCGCCCAGCAACGTGCAGAAGCTGATCGCAGACATGAACACCTAGTGTCAGAGTATTCAATGTCCCAAACGGCAACTGAGCATGAGGTAGCAAAACTGAGACAGGAACTTAGCGATGCAAACGCAAAGCTAAAGAATGCTGCAAACGCAGTTGCACTGGAAGCTGAACAAAGAGCCAACCAAAAGGTAGCCCACGTTACAGCCCAGTATGAACAAAGGTTTTCTGAACTCAGAGGTAGCCTCGAGGCAGACTGTAAACGAATCGTGGACGAAACAGTGGAGTATGCAAAGAATGGCATGGAAGGTTTCAAGAAGGAGGAACAAGCTGTAATCCAGGAGATTAGAGAGGAATGCAGTAGGCAGGAAAACCAAGCTGCTGAACTCAATTTCCAATTGCAGGGACAAGTGGAGGATTTGATGGAGAAGCTCAACAAGTACAGCGCCCCGGAAATCAGTGTCGACAGAGCCGTCGAAGTTGATGATGCACAAGGCGGTAATAATGTCGATTTGTACATGACCCCAAAATCAGCGGTCGGTACCAAGGCTGGAGCAGAACCCATGCCAAACACTGGTATGAGTAGCTTAGCCATGGACGCTAAGGAAAGATTGAGCAACTTGTTCTCAACTACCCCTGCCGGATCAGCAGCCCCTCCAAAACTTCCACCATTGCCAGTTCAAAGACAACATGATGACGATGCAAACCAAGAGCATAGTGTGCCCAGTCCTACAGTTATAGCAAGCGACCCTGGTAAGAAAGCAGCTGAAGCAGGTTTAGGTCTTTCAGGTCAACAATTGCTAGATCTCATCACTAGACTGACTTCAAAGGATTCAGATGGTGAAAGGCCCCGAACAAAAGAGGCAGAGACTATCAAACTGAACGACATGCCTGCCCCAGAAGCTTATCGTCACTGGCGTAATCATGTCAGGGATGAAGTGAAGTCGTGCTCCGACAAACCCGATGAGGCTTGGCTTTGGCTCAATGAAGTCTTTGACAACAAAACCCCTAGGGAAAAGTTGGAGGAAAAGCTGCAGGATCCTGGGAAGTTTATCACACTTGACACCAAATTGTCGGCAGCGTTAACTCGCTCAGCCAAAGGTGATTTAGCGACAAAGATCCATAACTTCAAAGATGAGAAGTCAAAGAAAGGGATCCAAGTCAGAGGTAGGAGAGTCCTTTTGATGTTTGAAGATTACTTCAGGACGTCTGAGGAAGCTGGCAGTCTCTACCGCGTCGAGGACCTACTTGGAGTCGTTCGCACTGGAGAATCTGTGGAGGACCTTAGAAGGTTTTTGAACCGATGGGACGCCACAATTGCCGGCATGGAAACCCCACCAGATGATTTGGTTCTCAGAGACATCTTACTCAGACAAATCCGAAAATGTCAATTGATGAAGTATGACATTGAAGCATTCGACAGAGCTCCTGAAAAGTCAGAACAAAAGTCTTATGCATTCTTGTTGAGAAACATTCGTGATCTTTTGGATAGAGAAAGACTCCGTTCGAACAGAAACAGAATCGTTGAAAAGAACAAGCAGACCGAAAAGCCTCAGCCCGCTGCACCCGCTCAGGGGGGCAAAGATCGCGGCAAAGGAAAGGGCGACCGAGGTCGAACCCGTGGCCGTAGCCAGAGTGGAAAAGGGGATAAGATATGCTACAAATTCAGGGATGGCAAATGCGAAAAGGGTAAAGATTGTCCCTACAAGCATGTCAAAGATTCCTCAAGATCTGGCACCCCAAAAAGAAAGGGTAAGGGCAAAGGTGGTAGCAGAAGTGGTTCCCCCAACAGAAAGTCGAAGGAAGAGATGGCCAAGATCCCATGCACTTACTTTCAACAGGGCAAATGTCGTCGTGGTGACAAATGTTTTTACAAACATGAAGTTGCAGCTGCACCCACAAAGGATCCAAAACGTACCAATAGCCCTGCACCAAAGAAGAAGGCCAGTGCAAAAGCTGCGCCATGCATTACTCAGAGGTATGCATGCATAGCAAAGGGAAAAGGGCTGCCAAAAGCTACAAAGGCCATGAAAGAACAATGCCATAGAGCCGTTGTGTTTTCATCAAAAGTGGAATACATCAAAGTCCCAGCAACAGGTGAACAGAGGAAGGTAGTGCACAAACCCCGAATCTATGAGAAGACGTTCCCTGACTCAGAGTCAGTGCCAAAACCCGACAAACTCGTGGCTCACCGTGCTCAGGTTTCGGCCCGACAGTTGCAGGAACTTGTGAAGCTCTTCGGCAGTGAGACACAGCCCAAGTGCCGATTCCGATGCAATGACCCAGAAGGGGGAGTATCATGCAACCACTGTAGAGCAATGATCGGTCCCAAGAATAAAGTCAGTAACACTCATTTGCCCACTGTTGCTACACCGGCATCAAAAGATGGATGTGTTTGGTTAGTTGACACGGGCAGTGAACAGGATCTGATTAGTGAAGGTATGCTGAAGACTGCAAAGGCGACAAACCGCCGTATCAGTGATACCCCAATCAGCCTTGCTACAGCGAACGGTTCGACACGAGCGGATGAGGTGGCCGACGTAAAAGTCGATGCCCTACATCAGCCGTTTTCACCATACATTCTTGAGGAAACTCCTGCTGTTCTTTCGGTTGGGGTCAGGTGTATGGAACAGGGTTACAGTTTTGTGTGGCCAGCTGATGGTAGGCCTTACTTCATTCGTCCGGACATGGGAGTCATTGAGCTTAACGTAGACGGCCGTGTGCCGGTCATCGATAGCTCTTGTCGTGTTTTGAACAGTGGACAGTTCAAGAAAGATTGTGATCTGTTACGTCTTTTTGCAATGGTTGCTGCAAAAGCAGAAGGTGCCGATGAAGAAGGCGTGGATGAGGGAGTAGCTCATGATAGCGAAACCGAATACGTCAGGTCTAGAAAGGCATCTGACCTTGAGCAAGAGGCATGCAGTAAGTCTCACCAGTTTTGCCATTACCCCAAGAATCCATTTTGCAAAATCTGTCAGAAGGCGCGCATGATGGCGCCACCCGCAAAGAAGAAAGGGGGACAGAAAAGGTTGGAAACCAAAAGCTTTGGGGATCACATTGTCGCTGACCATACTGTAATCAAATCCAATGTGGAAGAAGGCGTCAAAGGTGAAACAGTGGCATTGGTGATGAAGGACATTCACACTCAGTTCAGACACGTCTATCCAAGCCAGACCAAATCGAGTGAGTCATGTGTTAATGCATTCAACCACTTCTTATCTCACAAGGATGAAGTTGGGGCAGTTTACACTGACAATTCACGAGAGCTTATTGCTACAATTTCAGAGTTGGGGTACAGACATCAAACATCAACAGAGTATGTGGACAGTTCAAAGTCGTTTGTGGAGAGGGAGATCAGGCACATGCTTGAAGGCACACGCACAAACCTCGTGCAGTCAGGTCTTCCATTGCAGTATTGGCCAATGGCTATGCAGCATTTCTCCATGGCAGTGAATGCCACGCCACAGCTCAACGGTGATGATGCCCCATGGAAACTCAGATTCGAAGAAGATTTTCCAGGTCAGTTGATCCTTTCGGTGCAAAGATACTGTTTTGGAACAATCCAAAAAGGGTTGACAACACATCTGGAAAGACATCACCAACAGCAAATGATGGAATCTTTTTGGGATACCATATTCAACCTGGTTTTGCATGGAAAGGTGAGTATCTTGTTGCCAAGTTAGAAGCATTGGATTACCATGCAGAAACGGGCAGCATCACAGTGCAGCGAGCACGACGTGTTGAGCTCATCGCGGGAGGTTTTGTCTTCCCACTCCGTGCTTTGAAAGAGGCCAAAGAGCCCAAGCCGGACCGCCTAGTCGACAATGTCATTGCTGATCCTCGTCCGATTCCGTTTCAATCCGAATTGCAAACAGAGGAACATGCAGAAGAAAGTGAAGTAGCAATTGACAAGTCAACGGAGGCAGTGCTTGACGCACTTGCCAGTGATGAAAGGCCGGCTGAGGAACCAGTTTTTCCTGATATCAAGCACACTCCAACTGGTACTCCAATCCCGGATGGTTATCATTGGGACGGCACACGCCTTGTGAAAACGTACAAAGGGTCAAAACGCCCTGAGTCGATCCCATCGGATTTTTGGAAAATGCTTAGTCCGAAGGATAGGCAAAAGCTTGTTGAGGAGGAGGCTGAAAAGATGGCTGTGGGCAGCGGTGGTGCTGCATCAAGCTCAGCATCAAAGGGTCCGAAGAAGAAGAAAGGTGCAGTCGCTACTGCAAGAAAGCTTCGGGTAAACCCTAGCCCCTCAGGTGAGCCTAGTGTGTCAACATGGGAGGTCATTCCAAAGGATAGACCGAAATTTTGTGTCCCTGCAATGCCGAAAGCGGTTCCAGCAAAAGCTGAACTGCATCGCCCGGAATTGAGAGAGATGATCAAGAACAAGATCGCAGAGTTGGAATTCAAAGTGGCTCTTGAATTGTTTTCTGCTGTTGCACGTTTGGTTCCCAAAGATGAGGTTAGGAAAAACCCCAAAGCAAAGGCTGCCTTAGATAAGGAGTGGGAGAACCTCAGGACAAAAGGAGTATGGGACGAATCCAGAGTCAGGGAATGTAAAAGCATTGTTGAAGAAGCCCGCAAGAAAGGGGAAACTGTACATCTTGGTCGTATTTTTGAAGCCTGCTACGAAAAGGGGTCGGAACTTCCAGCTGATGATCCTCGTAGGAAATTCAAGGGCCGTACAGTCTTCCAGGGTAACAATGTCCGCGACCAGGATTCTGACCATGCGTTGTTTGCCGAATTAGGTAGCAGTCCTGCTTCGATGGAAGCTGCAAAGCTTCTTGACGCGTTTGGTTCTCAGCCCGGATTTTCAAAAGCTCAGGCAGACGCCATTCAAGCTTATATCCAGGCCCTCTTCACTGGGGTGCCCACATGGCTATCATTGCCACGGAACAGATGGCCAGAACACTGGGAAAAGCAATTCTGGCAACCAATGGTTCCTTTGGTTTTAGCTTTGTATGGGCATCCGGACAGCGGCGGTATTTGGGAAAACCACCTCAACAGCAGAATCGGAAAAGAAGGTTGGAAACAAATTCTCCCCGACATATGGCAAAGTATTTTCTATCATGCTGAGTACAATTGCATGTTGGTTGTTTACGTGGATGATTTCAAACTCGCAGGTCCCACTGAGAACATGGACAAAGCATGGGCAAGTATCAAACGAGCAGTCAACATTGGTGACCCCGAACCCTATGATCGATATTTCGGTTGTCAACATGTGGAGTTTAACAACGTTACACTACCATCAAAAGCTCATCCCGTTGCACATGTTTTTGATTCTCAGGCGGCTGCTGCGGCACGTACACAACATCGAACAAATGATTTTTGGCAACATGACCCCTTCAACAAAACTTGGACAAGGTATCATCTCCAGCCACGGAAGAAGTTGTTCGAGCCTGGCGATGAGGGGGGGAGTTTGTCAAGTCTTTACATTCAGAACGGGTTACAATGTTCGACAAAAATGTTGAATTCAAAGGTCTCCCAGTTCTCAACATGCATATGTCAGATGAAAGTTCAGCTATTGTTGAAGATGACATGACAGTGGATCAAAAGATTCAGACAAAGGACTTCTGGACAGGAAGAACAGTCTTCAGGTATGGTGACGAGTATGGCAACACTAATCAGTTTGCCCTCCCATCAAAGAACAGACCCGGTCCGCACAGAGACAAAAGGGAAGCCAAGAATGAGAAGAAATCTCAACGGTTCAAAAGCATTGAGAATGTCGTTACTAACAAGTCCGGTTGCATGAACAAACCTGTAAACCTGGTAAGGTACGACATGTCTTCTTTCATGGAATCATGTGTAGATGCATACTGTGAACTGGCAAAGGTTCAGAAAGATGACTTGCCAGTAGTCGCAACGCCGTTCACAGAAGCGGGAATAGCCCGGCCAACTCTCGATGAGAAGGAGAAGCCAGGGAGGTTGCAACCGATTGCATCGAAGGTCCTGATGAAGATTCTCTTTGCGGCCCGTATGGCACGCCCAGATCTCTTAAGAGCTACTCAAAGCTTGGCATCTAGGGTGACGAAATGGTCCATTGAGTGCGACATTGCATTGCACAGGTTGGTATCATACATCAAGTCAACTACAGATGTTTTTATGGAGGGTTTTGTGGGAGACTCGTTTGAGGATTGTCAACTGTGGCTATTTGCTGACGCTGATCATGCGGGGGAACATGATTCAAAATCAACTTCAGGTTGTGCAATGTTTCTTGTGGGGCCAAATACCTATTTCCCACTAAACGCATTCAGCAAGAAGCAGACAGTCGTAGCAAACTCGTCCACTGAAGCCGAAGTCGTATCAGCAAATCACGCACTCAGAGCAGAAGGGATTCCGATGTTAGCACTGTTGGAGCAATTGGGCATTTTCAAGAAATTGTCGCAGAAGGCTGGGTCAAACCCCAAGCCAAACACCCTTGAACAGAATGATCCTGTTTTTACTCGTATCGACAAAGAGATCGATGAAATCAGGTATGGCAATGTTGAAGGGGGCCTTTCTGCGGCAAATATCAATGGTTTGAAGGCCCACTTTCCGGAGTTCTATCAAGTGAAGTTCATGGAAGATAATCAAGCTTCTATCACTGTGATGGGTACCGGTAATTCCTCCACTATGCGCTACGCCAACAAAACTCAGAACATCTGCTTTAAATGGATGAAACAGTTGTTCGAAGAAGATCAATTCGATTTGATAAATGTTGGCACAAATTGGCAGACAGCTGACATCCTTACAAAACCTTTTACTTCCCCAACTAAATGGGAACATGCTTTGAGGTTGATGGCCATTGGAAAGACTTGGATCGACGCCGACAAGCCCAAGGTGCGCCAAGTAGACTCCAAGCCTGCGTGTCCAGCTAATGTCGATGATCAGGGGGGACGTGATGGTTCAAATTCTTTCCAAAGGATGTTGATTGAGTTTTGCTGTTCATCCGATTCGAAGCTATGCACTCCACGGCAAGCCAGTAAAGGGTGTAGACTTATCCGAGTAACCAAAACGAGGATGGCACCACCCAAGGCTGCCGTAAATGGCTAGCCCAAGAAGTCCAGTCTTTCAGGGAGAGTAATCCAGAGGGTGAGATCTTGCTTTACGCTTCCTTGCCATGTGTGGGCGGCAGTCCATGGGGTTACATCAACAGTTTGACTGACAAAGGGGCTGAACGAATCGAACAGCAACAAAAGGAATTTACAAAACTTTTCAAATCACTTCAAAAGGTTATCAGTGAAATCGATGGGCCACATTTTTCAATTGCATTCGAACTCTCAAAGAACTGCAAGTATTGGAAATGGCCAATGGTTCAATCGTTTTTGAAGAGACAAGAGTTGAAATCGTATCCATTCCACGGTTGCCAGTTTGGGGTTATTGACTTGGACGGGAATCCCATGAAAAAGGGTTGGATGATTGCAACAAACATGGAAGAGTTGTCAAGTCTATCGGAATACGTTTGTGATGGTTCCCACACTCATGGTCAAAGCCGGGGTACTGCACTGAAGCTTGCAGAGAACTACACATTCAAGTTGACTGACTTCATCCATGATTGTTTTCGTTCCAGAGCTAACCGGGCACAAACCGCCAAGAACAGGAAAAGGTTAGCTTTGCCCGCCATGAGCCGACGTTCTGAAGATTCAAATTTGTCGATTGCTGAAAAGATGAACGTGCGGGCTCTCAAGTCGGCCGGTTTAAAGACCGTGCCCCAACAGAGCAACATGTCGGAGTGGCTTGCTTTTCGGAAGTGCCTTGATGTTCAGGGGGATAGGCACGCAGGGTGGGAGGACATCTTTTCTACGGTCCTCGCTTCGTCAACCATCCTGGCACAGGGCAACAGGACAGAGGACCTTGAGTTGGCTGCAGGATTCATGCAATGCTTCACTGCGCAGTCCATGTCAACTGACGCCCTGACAAACGTGCCGTGGGCAAAGGAGATCCGCCATCTGTCCGAGCTCGAACATGACTCACTGTGGGATCTGAGCTTGCCTACTGAGTACGTCCCTGGGACATCAAGGCCGGCGGTAGACGTCGTGCCCACCATCTATGTGGTGACTTCCGATTCAACTTTGGCTCTGATCACTGGAAAGGGTAAGACTTTGAAGAAGTACACCTTGAAGGAGGATCTGGGGTTGCGAAAATCAGACATGGTTCTCGAAATCGGTCATGACATGCTCTGGGGTAAGGATTTACAACAGCTCTGCAAAGCAAATATTTCCATGATCAAGGAGCTGATGGCGAAATATTCTTCTCATGGATCAGCCATCAGGGTTATTTCGGTAATTGTTTGGTCTGGGAACGAAATTTGCGGGGAATATGGTGTTGAACCCCTTCCCATTTGGGGGCAAAGGGAACCAGGGGGCGACTGGAATGCCATCATGGACAGGGTCAAAGGCAACATTGTTTGGTGGAACAATCAGCTCAAGGAGTTGGGAGTGGATCAGGCCGCCCTAATCGGCGAGCCCGACCCGCTCACTTATGGATTGAGTCTCATCTTCACGACGTTTATTGATCGTCTGAAGGAATGGTTCCACAAGGAGATTGCCAGTGACAACGATCGGATTCGGTGGATCAAGAATGACATGCTTCCACCGAGGCTTGAGCTCAGGGACTACTTTCACGCGTTCGAGACCGAGCTCAACCGAAGTGAAATGATCGGATATGTCATGGCAACTCTCCACATGTTGCACATGACGGACATCTTGATCCCTCAGTACAACCTGTCTTTGTACAAGCGCAGGCGCCCTGCAGGTGAAGCTACAATGCGTGATGTCCCGCCAAAGATGGAGCACCTTCCAGTCAGGTTTGTGCAGGTCCTCAACTCTCTCCGGGAGAAGGTGAACAAGCCTGCACCGAGTGTCTCGACCCCAGAAAGCTTTACAGCAGAGGAGTTGAGGGATCGCCCGACTGATGCTGGTGTCGCCGAAGATGATGATGAGGAAGGCGACCCATGGGATGCTCTGGATCCCGATGAGCACGAGGGCCCATCTTTTGGCAAAGCCAAGGCAAGCCACGAAGCTCCACCTGACCCCAAGGCGAAAGCTCCAGCGACACAGGAGGATTCAACTCAGGCCACCTCAGCTGGTGAGCCCCTGCAAGAAAACGAGATCAAGGGTACCATTGTGCCAAAATACGCATTGGGACACCTTGACAAGTACCGTATCACTTTGGACGAAAACATCAATGCAGAAGTTGTTGAACACTGTGTCGTCGATTCCCATCCCTACGAATTGATTGTCAAGACCTGCTGGGAGATGGATGGGGCAAAGGAGTTAAAATTTCCTGACCGCATGGACCGACACAAAACTAAGGTCAATGCGGTGACGCGTGGTCAGCCTGGTCAGGACACCTCTGGATTTGATGAAAACATGTGGCTTGACCTTGATGATTTCTTTCGAATGTTCAACCAAATGCTGCCAGCCAAGTTGCCCAGAATGACTGTTGAAGAGCTCATCTCATTGCTCTACTGGGACAGCAAGTGCCGTTTTGAGTTCCAGTGCATTGCCGGGTACCAGAAGGCAACCCGTAAAGGGTTAGCCTACTGGCCCATCAGGATCCGTGCAGTGCAGGGGCATACGAAACGTGCCATGGATGCCGCTTCAGCTGAGGACACGTTCAATGCAGTGGAAATCTATGCTCTGTCTGGAGCAGCAGCGATCCAGAAAATGAACGCCAAAGGTAAAAAGATTACCACTCCTCAGATGTGCCCCGGCGTAGTTTATCACAGGACTACAAAAGGCAATTGGAAGGGCATCATTGAGAATGGCTTCGTGGCTGGAGGAGGAGAACGAAATTCGTCAGGAAGAGCTCACTCCTATTTTAGCGACGTTCGTGTTGATGAGAAAGAGTATGTGAGCGGTTTGCGTGCTGAGCGACCCATTGAAATCAGGGTTGCAATGGCAGAAGCTGTCAAGGCTGGAATTGTGTTTTTCAGGACAGCTTCCGACGGCATTCTTACAAGCGATGTCGTCCCGCCACAATACATCATCTCTGTCGATGACACGGCCAAGAAGGTGAATCTTTATCGTCGCCAGCAGGAGATTGCACAGTCTGCAGCGAGCAGTGGGGGAGAAGTTGGAGTCCAACAGCTTGTCGAGACCTTTGAGGCCAAGGCATCGAAAAGGACGGGTTCCACATCTCCGGCCGCCTCAACTGGCGCGCCCACTGCAAAGACATTTTTCCCAGGGAAGGTGAAGCCTCCGCCACCAAATGTGGCCCAACTTGCCGGTATGCCTGGATATGCAAGCAGCAGACTGTTGCCCCCTCCTCCAAAGGGTGAAGCTCCGAAACCTCCTGCAGCAAAGGTTGAAGGACCAAAGACACCGCCAAAGACACCTCCAAAATCATCACCGAAGGAAGGGACTTCTGCACCTCATGCACCAGAAGTTCCAAAAGCTGTGACCTCAGAAGTTGATGCAGCGGCAAAGGATGAACCTGCAAAGAAGAAGGCAGCCCTGACAAGCGTGCCCGCAGCTGTGCCTGCGGCATCATCGGCTGCGGCCTTCTTGGAGCCTGTTCCAAAAGTTGCACCACCAAAGGCAGCGCAGAAAGATCCAAAAGCTCCAGTTGCAGAGTCACCCAAAAAGACGCCAGCATCAACATCAAAGTCACTGGTGCCAAAGCAGAAGTCTCGCCCTAAAGGCGATGACCAACCTTCGAAGAAAGAGGTGAAGAAGGAGGACAAGAAGCCGGTGCCGGTCAAGATCGAAGTCACGCAATGTTCAAGATGCTTTGCACAGACTTTCAAGGGACAGATTGAATGCGATGTGTGTGGATTGATGCTTGAAGGGATCAACAAGGCCGACCGAACCAAGATTGCAGAAAGAAGGAAGGCCGCCCTTCACAAGCTGGGCTTGTACTATGATTTTCGTGGCGAGTACCTGCAGAGCATCACACACGGCCAGCTTGAAAATTTGGGTTTGTTGGACGATCAGGCAAGAGGAAGCTCAAGCCCGGAAGCCGGATTATTGGCAAGGGCCAAGAGTCGCTTCGACCGTGCCTTGAGTTTGGGCTATGTGTCTGTGGCTGACAGGTTCGCCCAGGACGCCACATTCGCAGAGAGCGTGCTGAACGAGGGGGAGAACGAGTACGATTGTGAAAGGTACGACCTCCTCAAGTCTGCACATTTGCCAAAGCCTGGTCGTACCAAAGCTCAGGTCAAGATGGGTATTTCTGAGCAATCCCAGCTGGAGCACAACGCAATGAGGCTGGTCTACTTGGATTTGGCCAACCGTCATGATGTCCCAAAGTCTTTCAGGTACATCGACCAGCCATGGTTCTACATGTACCGAACCGAGATCTACTCCGAAGAAGAGTACATTGACTACCTCAGCAGGAATCCTGGACACAATCTTTTGTTGTCTTGCACTGGAGTTGACAACATTGCTGTTCATGATGCTGAACGTCATTTGAGGTGGATTAAGGGACAAAATGAAGAGCTGTACAAGCAGAACGCAGCAGAGAAGAAGAAACAGTCTGACAGGGCCCGCGAACAAAACGAGGCCAAGCGCAAAGCTGAGCAGACTGGTGCGTACGGCCAAGGTCCCTCCAAGAAAGGCACCGCCAAACCGGTTGCCCGACCATCCACAAGCGTAGAGGTAGCATCATCATCAACGTCTGCAAGTCAGTGGCTCAACCGCCCTCAGCAAAGTCATTCCCACGATGATCGCCGTTACACTGGAGAGTGGCAGAAGTGGCATGGACGCTGGTATGAGAAAGTCATCAGGCATGGCCGAGTTGAGTGGGAAGAGGGATAAGTTGTGACACTGCTTGCATTGACGATCGGTTTTTGTATCATAGCCGCCAAGTGTGTTTTCCCTTGGGTTTGCAAAGAGCAGGTTCGGTGAGGCAGGTCTTAAAGACCTCGCCCTGGTAAATGCGGCATCCTCGCCGTAACCGGCTCACCTGAGGGGGGTGTAAAATCACCTCACCTAAAACACATGTATAATAGCATACACTACAGCATTGCGGCTCAGGACAAAAGGTGCTTGAGCTGTCTAGCTTAGCGGTATTTTTCCCACTTTTAGGTTTATCAGTCTATTTGGGTATAACTAGGTTAACCCCTGCTGAAACCTGAAAATACACATTTGTGACCCACCATCGCCTTTACAGGGTATTTGGATGAATCTCTATATTGGGCAAACCACAAAGACCTTCAAAAAATCGGAAAAAGTTCTCGAAGAAAGACAATGATCATTAATTAAGAGTGTGTTTCCACTATGAGCCACCTCCTATGATGCGTGCGTGTGATATATGTTGCCTATTGTGCGCAGAACTAGTGACTAGTGCGAGTACCTATGTCATATGTCATTTTTGCGTGTATTGTGTGCGTTCTGCTTCCATATCATGTGCATATTGAAAGCTCTGTATTTTCTTTTTGTATGCTTGTTTTGTCAGGTTGGAGTTTGTGTGTGATTTGAGACTTAAGTAGCTTGTGTTTGTTTCCGTGCGTGTTGTGTACTATATGGTATGTACACGGATACATCAGTTTCCATGAGTATATGTGCGCATACAGATGCGTAATGACTTGTAAAGATCGAAGGAAGTTTAAAAGCCAAACTTCGAAGAATATGGACAGATGAAGCAGCAGAGGTGGGCAGAGTCAGACAAGAGAAACGAAGAAGAAAGAAAATCAGAGAAGAGATAGAGTCAGAAAGAAGAGGAAAAGTAGGCTCACTAAAACGGCGGTGCGGAGTCATCTGGTCAGATGAGAAATAAAAATGGCATTCCCTTGTGGCGCGAAGCAGACTTGAAAGTCAAAACGCTAGAAAAGCCTCATTCTTGGAGCGCCCTTGGAAGTTGAGATGTTCAAAAAGTGTACGCCGTTGTGGCGAATAGCACATATCAAAGTAAAAATGATGAAAGCACCGCATGTTCGGACCACTTTTGGAACTTGAGATGTTCAAAAAGTGCCCGCAGTTGTGGTGCGAAGCACATTTCGAAGTCAAAATGTTCAAGACACACCATGCACGTTCGGACCACTCTTGGCAGCTGCAATGTCCAAAAAATTCATGCTGTTGAGGCGAAGCAGATTTCGAAGTCAAAATGTCAGAAACACACCACGTTCGGACAATTTGTGGCGCAAAAGTGTTACAATACTGAGGGTCTCCGGCCATTTTTGGGAGTTGAGATGTGGAAAAAACGCGCGTCCCGGTGGCGCGAAACACATCATAACAATGATGAAAAGCCCACTTCGAAGTCAAAATGTTGAGAACACACCACATCCGGACTACTTTTGGACGGTGAGCTGTCGAGAGGAAAGGTGGATGGATGGATGGCTGGCTGGATGGATGGATGGATGGATGGGTAGATAGATAGACAGATAGATAGAGGTAGATATATAGATCGATCGATCGATGGATCGATCCATACATTGATAGATTGATAGATCGTTAGATCGCTTGATAAAAAGGTAGTCATATAGATCTAGATGGATAGATGGAAAGATAGATCGTTAGATCGTTAGACAGTGAGATAGAAGTAGATAGATTTCGATAGATAGATTAGATAGCTTAGACATGTTTAGACAGATACGATAGATAAGATAGACAAGATAGAATAGAATAAAATAGAATAGAATAGAATAGAACAGAACAGAATAGAATAGAATGATAGATTGATGGAGAGAAAGAAACAAAGATAGATAGATACAGGTATAGATATAAGTCTAGATCTAGATATAGATATAGAGATAGATAGATACTGGTAGTTTAGATAGATAGACAGACAGACAGATAGATAGATAGACAGAGAAGGTAGATAGAGAAGGTAGATAGATGGGTTGACAGTCAGAGAGTTAGTCAGATAGACACGTAGACAGATAGACAGATAGAAAGGTAGATGGACAGATAGACAGATAGAGAGACAGACAAAGAAATAGTGACAGATAGGCAGAGAGATAGAGAGAGAGGGAGACGCCACTGCCTTGTGCGGTACTACTCTTACGTATATAATGTAGTGTACTGTAATGCAATACAATGCAATGTCCCGTCCTGTGCTGTACTGTACTGTACTGCTATGTCACCTTATGTCGCGTTATTGTGACGTCATGTTATGTCACGTTAATGTATCTCACTTTATGTCACATCACGTTACGTTTTGTTGCCTTAATCTTATTTCATGTAATGTAGACGGATAGAGAGACATATAGCTTTGGGTAGATTGATAAAGAGAGGTGGATAGATGGAAAGATAGATTCATTGATAGATAGAAAACTCTAGATAGATAAAAAAAAAAGCATCGTGGCTCATGGCAGGGCACCTTGCAATCTCGTTCGTATTCTTTTCCTAGCCATGTCGAAATCCAAGCATGAGACAACAGGTCTCACTCCAGAACCAGCATCTCGCAAGTTGAGAACAGATGATGACAAAGAAGTTGAGAAACAAGAAGAGGACAAGCCTGACCATCCTATGCATGCTGATCCAATGACGAGGCTTGTTCTTGAAGAACTACAGTCTGAGATGGCCGGCTACAAGAATCAAACAGCTTACCTTATGGCACAGCATTCGGACACACTCCGGGAAAAGGCCAAGAGAGAAATTCTAGTGGGAGGATGGAGCAGTTTCAAGCCTGATGGCTTTTCACCTGAAGAGCAAGGTTTTCAGCTAGAAGCACAAGCTGAGTCGAGAGAGCGCTTTATCAAAGACATAGCCAAACGAGCTGGCCTTTCCAGCTTCTACTACCAGGATTGGCGCTTCTCACACCAAACCAAAGGTGATGCGCTCTCACCACTGACTGTGGTGACAGTGACCCAACCATGGCAACGATCGAAACTTCTGGACTTCACCAAGAACCGCCTGAATGCAGACATGCTCAAAGAACGACACTTTGTCAAAGACCATGTTGAAAACAGCTGGGAGAAGATCCAAAAAGCGTTTGGGCCATGCCAAGACAAAGACCACAAGGCTCGAGAAATCCGAGTACAACCACAAGTCTCCCTATGGGATAGGACAACTGGACTACCGCTCAAGGTGGCAATGGCTGTCGTAGAAATGTGGGGAATCACTTTCCGCCATAGCTGGAGAGATCATACGCTCACCACTGCAGAGGGAGAATACATCCTATGGTGTCATTACTTACCTGCAGCTGGAAAGACGGTGCTCTACCTATCCAGGAAGCTGATCCAGGATCCAGAGAATTTCAAGGAGACGATGATCGACAAGTTCAACGAACTGCTCAACTACAATGGAAAGAGCAAAGGTAAAGGAAAAGGCAAGTCAAAGAGTGCGGCAAGCCAGGAAAGTGAACAGAACAGCTTCCCGGCAAACCACACATCCCACTCCACGAATGCCAAGTTCCCTTTTACGATTACCTTCGCTTTGGTGGCTGATGAAATAGATCACTGGGGAACATGGAAGGAGCTTTGGAATAGGGCCCTGACGAATGCCAACACGCCCTAACAGATCCATGTCCTCTCCGAAGACTTTTGACTAGGGTCTGCCAAGCAGACACAGTCTCAATCCTCTTTTCTAGCAAAAGTAAAGCTTTTGCATCAGAGGGGTGTCGACACTGGCCACTCGCACAAAGCCGCACGGGCGCAAAAAAGAATGGATGCTTGCAACCACTCAACCGTAGTTCAGGGTGGCGCACGCCACAAGGCTTTCGAGCCTCTCGAGGTAATCTCGTGGTACTCTCAGAAGAAGACGCATTCTAAAGTTAAATCTTCCCACAAAAATAAATTCCAACCATTGACTTTTCATAATCTTTCTCTTCACAATGATGCTAACACCCGAAATTACGTGGCTAAACCTTCACAACAGAACATGAAACCCAAATCTACTCATACCCTGCCAACAGGCCCTCACAGGGCGATGCGGGAAAGCCGCACGGCTACCGACAAAGTAGCTGTCAGCGGTAACCAACATGAGAGCCAAAAAACCCTGAAAAGAAAGTGTAGAAGCGTTACTGCCTTGATCAACAGAAGAGTAAGGCGCAGCTTAAAAAGGCACGACCAACGCATGCATTATAGACGAATCAGGGCGCAGTGCCATGACTTGGCTGGTCAGGCAGCTGCGTACAAAGCCCAAGATCCAACGGCAACACCATCTGCACACAACTCATTCCGCAATTCAAATAATCTCGATTCTGCTTTTTACTTCGATAATCCTGATTCGACTGGCTCAAACTCCCCCCCTGACTCACTTTACCAAGATAACATTTTACTCAACAAAGAGTTAAAAGGCTTTAAGATTGCCTCCCTCAACTGCAGAGGACTCGCGTCAATTTCCAAAAGGGAAAGACTTGTTCACTTGATGGGTAAATATCAAATTGATATCTTATGTCTTCAAGAAACTAAGATTAATTCCAACTCAAAAGAAACACATCAGGGTTACGACATGTACTGGTCGTCCGATGTGGCTGACACAGACCGAGCCAACGCGGAAGCCTTAGCTAGGACAGGTCGGGCGTCCAGGCGCAACGAAGAACATTGTCGTATTTTTCAGAAGGCCAAAGAACACCTGGGAGTAGGTATCGTTTTCTCAAAACAAGCACAAAGATGTTTAAAATCCGTCCAACCTATCAGTGCTAGAAACATTGTAGGTACTCTTATCATGCAAATCGGTGATTTGGATATAGTTTCTTCATATGCCCCTCAAGCATGTCACACGGACCCAACGGCCTCTGACAAACATTATCAGGAACTTCACACCATTATGGATCAAACATATGCTTACTCCCCCAAGATCATTTGCGGTGACTTTAATGCGCGTTTGATAAAAGCTCTACCCACGGAATCCTCTGTTATTGGACCGCTCACTTTTGGGGCAAACACACATGAAATTGATTTTCTAAGTGATGCTCAGTTTGAGAACCGATCCCGCTTAATCGAATTCTGCTTGGAGCGTAACATGATTATTAAAAACACTTTCCTTCAAAAAGCAGAGGAGCATCTCATCACGTATCGTGCTGTAGGTGTTCGTACATGGGAACCGCCCTTTACTTTCCATAAATATGCCCAGATGGACTATTTCCTGGTCAATTCGCCATGGAAGAATTCCATCCAAAACATTGAGTCAACTTATATCCACACTATTGATACCGACCACAAACTTCTAATTGCTGAGGTGCTGTTCAAACTAAAGGTAAAACCACGACAACATGCTAACTTACCAGTTCGTTTCCACAAGCCTACAGAAGAGAATTTGACCAACTATAACAGCCTTATTTCCTACGAACTCTCAAAACAGAAGGAAGACCTCGCCGAAGACCAACATATTTCCGTTCAACAAATTAACCAGACGCTTTCAATTAGCGCCAAAGCTTCTTTGCCACTTCGACACCCGAAACAAAAGAAAGAATACATTTCTGAAGCTACATGGCGCTTACTTGAACAAAGATGGTCAGCGCTGGAAGCTCAGGATTGGGACCTTGCTGCAACTATAAACATAAGACATTACACAGATGGTCAGCGCTGGAAGCTCAGGATTGGGACCTTGCTGCAACTATAAACATAGACATTACACAGCAGGTAAAGCATGATAAGGAAAATCACCTTCTTGAACAACTGGAGGAAATCAACTCGTCAGGTTATCAATGGTCAGGGTTAAAACGCCTTCGTTCAAAATTCACGCCGCAATTTTCAAAAGTTAAAGATCGTTTTGGCAGTTACATTCCACTTGATAAATACGCCGAAGCAGCGGCCGACTACCTTGAAAATATCCAATGGGGCTCTTCCAACCCCGCTCAAAACCCTACTAGAGAGCATGTGGCATTACAGGATGGAAGTCATGTAGTTGATGATTCAATGTTTACCCTTGAAGAATTGGATTCAGTTATTGCGATTAAAGAATAATAAAACTCCAGGAGAAGACGGCGTCGTTGGAGAACTTTTCAATTGGTTGTCTGCGGACAACAGACAAATTCTTCTTGATGCGCTCAATCAATGCTTAGTCTCCAGTGTTTTGGCTCCTGAACATCTCCGAGCAGTGGTAGTATCCATCTATAAAAAAAGGAGATTCTTCACAATTGGAAAACTACCGTCCTATCTCACTTCTTAACACTTGCTACAAAATCCTCGCAGCACTCATCAAAGACCGATTGGACAAAGGGCTTGACAAATGGATTACCCCTACCCAATACGGCTTCCGTAAATCCAAAAGCACAGCTGAAGCTATATATCTGGCAAGACGCCTTCAGGATTACTGCGAAAAATCAAAGTCTGCAAGTACGTTGATTTTACTAGATTGGGAAAAGGCGTTTGATAAGGTTCTTAATTCCAAAATGATAGAGACACTTCAAAGGCTCAAGGTTCCTGCTAAAATCATTAAATTGATTCAGTGTTTCTATTCCAATCCTGACTTCAAGGTTTCTGTGAATGGAATTGACTCGGACTGGAAGAAGCAGAAAACGGGAATAAGACAAGGCTGTCCCCTTTCTCCTTATCTTTTCTGCTTGGTAATGAGTGCTATGTTCACTGATATCAAATCTGAGCTTAACACACCCAAACAACGCCAACCATTCGATGGAATCTCCTTTACCGAAATTTTGTTTGCTGATGATACCCTCATTTTTGGAGCCAACACTCACTGTATCAATGTTCTACTTCACGCTATCGAAAGACATTCGGCCTATTTTGGGTTAAAATTAAATTATAGCAAGTGCATTAACCTGACTGCTAATCAAAGGATTTCCTCTGTACGATTTTCACCTAACGGACCAGCAGCCGGAGCATTAGTCCCACGCAAATCCTCCGCTACATACCTTGGCACTCTCCTCACAGACTCTTTCAATAATAAAGCAGAGGTAGCCAACCGGCTAAACGACTGTATAGCTACCTGCAACAGGCTGAAACTATTCTGGAAAAAGGCGCGTACCAGCATCAAATGGAAAATCCAGGTCTTCAACGCCATTATTAGATCCAAACTTCTATATAGTCTTGAATGCATTCAACTCACACAGGCGGAAATATCTAAACTAAACGGTTTCCAAAACAAGTCCCTCAGAAGGATTCTTGACATTCCCCCGACTTTCATCGATAGGCAATACACAAACGAACGCATGTATGATTTGATCAAGAATCAATACGGATGTCATTATGAGAGCTTTGGTGAAACATGGCGGAAAAGGAAATGCAATTTTTTTGGACATATCCTCAGATGTCGCAGTGATGACCCCCTTTTTCAAGTTACCTTTTCTCATACTATTTTTTCGTCTAGAACCCCTCCTCTACTGAGACCAGGCAGACCCAGAGCAGATTGGCTCATTGAAACATTTAAAGATTCTTGTTACTACTTATATGGACCAGACAGACAATTTGATTTTAACGACAGACAATTGATCGCAGATATAAAACAAGCAGCTGTAAACAGAATAGGACCTTTCTCTACAAATAAATGATGTTTGTCGGGACTTCTGTCCCAAAGGCCTTTGGCCTCTCGAGGTACTGCTCTTGGTAATTCTCAGATGTTGCGCCGGACTTCCTATTTTCTCACTCAATGGCATTCTTCATCTTTTCTGATAGATCACACCCCCTCTGACAGTTGTAGCCTTGTACATTAAAACTGTTTTAACTGCGATTGTCCTCCTTTTAGGAGAAGTGATTATTTTTCACCCCGTCTATTCTTACATCTTTTTATTTCGTGAAGCGGAATGGCCAATTTGCCATCAGTTGCTGTTGGGAGCCCATTTGTGCTCGTTGGAAAAAAGATAGATAAAAATTTGATATATACTGATTATATATATGTAAATAGTTAGAGAGTGTCTAGATAGATTAGATAGATAACGAGTAGATAGATAATGATTAGATGGACACTGATCAGATAGATAACAATTCGACAGATCGTGGTTAGATAGATGGTGATTGGATAGATAGTGTCTAGATAGATTTTGACTAGACAGATCATGCTAAATATGTCATAACTAGAGAGATAATGATTACAGAGCTAGTGGTTGGATAGATCAGGACTAGATAGATATTAGCGATTAGATGGGTCATGATGGGGTACAGTAGATGTTTCTTGAATAGATTGTGGTTTCTGGAATAGATCCTGGTTAGATAGATTTGATAGATAGATGGACATGTATTCCGTACATATACAGACATCGATATGTGTTCCAATGTGTCTTGTAGACACATGGTCTTGTGTTCTGCGTTCAGTACGCACTAGAAAATGATTTTGGTCACACGGCATGTAGATACTATTCTGATTGCGATATATGTGCCACATGCCCACGAGCATCATATGACGATGGCGTGTATTGTTCTCTTATATAGACTAAACTGATGTTTGGTATCTTCGCAAAAAACGTATTTGATTGGTTTCGCACAATTGGCCATATTGTTTTGTGCAAGCCTTGCAGTTATTCTAAAAGAACGACATACTTATGACATTGCAGGAACAGCTGAACCAGGATGGAGAACGATACCAGGCCATCCGGTGCGGCATTCTTCCAATTCTGTCATGAATTTCCTCACTTGTTTGGGTGACGCGACAGGAGGAGGATGAAAGTACGCATGTTGTTCAATATATTTTAACACAAAATACCATGAAACCGTTTTTATAGAGGGATTTTTTTGTTCTCTCCAACCGGTGGCAGATCGCAGTTTCTTCGGCTCTGAGGTCTTGATGCAGGCCACGTTTGGCCATGAGGGAAGTCAGGACCGAAACGCTGCACCACTCAGTGACCACTCATGGCCAAAGATGCTGCCGATTTGTTTGCTTTCCAAACCAAAGGTTTTCATTAGTGACACAGTGAAACATTCTATTTTTTTTTACCTTCTGTAAATCCAACAACAAAAAGAGGCACAGTTTGTTTGACCGCAAGGCAATGGACTCTGGCAGTTTGGAGGCTACATCGGCAGCAATCAAAGAGGCGTCCCCGGCGTCCCCCGATGGTCTGCAGAGTCTGCCGCTGCAAGATGCTGCAAGTCTGTCAAATTTCCACACTTTACTGCCCCCAATAAGAGAACGTTGCTGGTTCGTTTGCTGCAGGAGTGCCATTTGACCACCAGCTTAACGGCTCAAAACCCTACTACTACAAACAACAAGTCTAGATTCTAGATCCTGAGCAGGAGCTCCTAAATCACGTTTGAAACTCGTGGCCAAAAGGTTCAAGGGTCAAACGCAGAATGCAGCATGTAGAAATGACGTGGCAGTCCGTTTAAAGATGTTGAAAGACCTCCATACACGTGGTTCATGAATTTTCTTTGTTTGCATGCTCTCCGCATTTGATGAGCAAGTGGGTTTGAACCTTACTGTGCTTGTACCGGGTGGTCGATGTAGCGGGCGTTCACAATGCTGCTTTCAATGTGTATTGTGCAACTTCTCGCCATTTCCTGTCGTTCTTTTTTACCTAGGTTGATGGGCATGCGGAGGATCGCTTGAAGACACTTTGCTAAGATGTTTTTTAGGGAACATGGTACTACCCCTTTTCCCTAACATTCAACACCCCCACAAACCATGGTTTACTAAGGGATTTACATCCTTGGGACCAGTTAGGGGGTGTTTATGATTGGGGGATGGGATCAAGAGAATTGACAGCGGAACACAAAGTCTAGAAGTTGCCAGGCCGAATTTGCTTCTTTGTGTTGCAGCTTTATGCAGCTCAAATAGCACAATGAGTTTTGTGTGTTCTCAATGCCAGACACAAGGCGAAGTTCCAAAGTTCTCAAAGAGTTGGCAAATATCTTGGCGAAACTCTGCTGCAAGAGCCCTCCTTGACATGCTCCTCACCCCTTAGGCTAGAAGTTCACCCCTCTTTGCCCGGGGTCGATACTCAGCATTTCTCCATTGCCTTGCATCTTGGCTTACACCAATCCTGGCAATACTAGCAGATGGTAGTTTCATCGGCCTTAGCCTCAGCTGTTCAGAACGCTGAGATACGCCAAGCTTCTCTAAGCCTATCTAAGCCTATCAAAGCTTATCTAAGCTTTTCTAAACTCCAAGTTTTTCAAGTCACTTGTGTTATAAATGGGCTAGCGCCCTGGTGCCGCCGACCCCTTTTCAAGGGTGGCGGAAGGACGGCGCGCATCGCGACATCTTGAGCCGTTTGGGTTCAGCGGACCGCCATGGAGGGCCATGGAGGGCAATGGAGGGCCATGGAGGCAAACGGCAGGCTGCAAGGCTCTAACAACAAATGCTTGTGGCCAGAGTGCCTGGTCGAAGCTGCCGCAGGGGATTTTAGGCATTTGACGGTTGGCAAACGGCAGGCTTGAACGCCGTAACAACAGAGGACCATGGAGGCAAACGGCAGCCTGCAAGGCTCTAACAAGAAATGCTTGTGGCCAGAGTGCCTGGTCGAAGCTGCCGCGGGGCATTTTAGGCATTTGACAGCTGGCAAACGGCAGGCTTGAACACCCTAACAACAGAGGGCCATGGAGGCAAACGGCAGGCTTCAAGGCTCTAACAACCAATGCTTGTGGCCAGAGTGCCTGGTCGAAGCTGCCGCAGGGCATTTTAGGCATTTGACGGCTGGCAAACGGCAGGCTTGAACGCTGTAACAACAGAGGGCCATGGAGGCAAACGGCAGGCTTCAAGGCTCTAACAACAAATGCTTGTGGCCAGAGTGCCTGGTCGAAGCTGCCGCGGGCCATTTTAGGCATTTGACGGCTGGCAAACGGCAGGCTTGAACGCCCTAACAACAGAGGGCCATGGAGGCAAACGGCAGGCTTCAAGGTCGAACAACAAATGCTTGTGGCCAGAGTCCCTGGTCGAAGCGCGCGCGGCGGGTCATAGGAGCAGCTTGACGGATGATGGCAAAACGGCCGGCTGAAACGACCCTAACCACAGAGGCCAGTGTCGTAGGCGACAAACACGCAGGCTTCAAGGCTCTAACAACAAATGCTTGTGGCCAGAGTGCCTGGTCGAAGCTGCCGCAGGGCATTTTAGGCATTTGACGGCTGGCAAACGGCAGGCTTGAACGCCCTAACAACAGAGGGCCATGGAGGCAAACGGCAGGCTTCAAGGCTCTAACAACAAATGCTTGTGGCCAGAGTGCCTGGTCGAAGCTGCCGCAGGGCATTTTAGGCATTTGACGGCTGGCAAACGGCAGGCTTGAACGCCCTAACAACAGAGGGCCATGGAGGCAAACGGCAGGCTTCAAGGCTCTAACAACCAATGCTTGTGGCCAGAGTGCCTGGTCGAAGATTTTGGGCATTTGACGGCTGGCACACGGCAGGCTTGAACGCCCTAACAATAGAGTGCATGGAGGCAAACGGCAGGCTTCAAGGCTCTAACAACAAATGCTTGTGGCCAGAGTGCCTGGTCGAAGCTGCCGCAGGGCATTTTAGGCATTTGACGGCTGGCAAACGGCAGGCTTGAATGCCGTAACAACAGAGGACCATGGAGGCAAACGGCAGCCTGCAAGGCTCTAACAAGAAATGCTTGTGGCCAGAGTGCCTGGTCGAAGCTGCCACGGGCCATTTTAGGCATTTGACGGCTGGCAAACGGCAGGCTTGAACGCCCTAACAACAGAGGGCCATGGAGGCAAACGGCAGGCTTCAAGGTCGAACAACAAATGCTTGTGGCCAGAGTCCCTGGTCGAAGCTGCCGCGGGCCATTTTAGGCATTTGACGGCTGGCAAACGGCAGGCTTGAACGCCCTAACAACAGAGGGCCATGGAGGCAAACGGCAGGCTTCAAGGCTCTAACAACAAATGCTTGTGGCCAGAGTGCCTGGTCGAAGCTGCCGCATGGCATTTTAGGCATTTGACGGCTGGCAAACGACAGTCTTGAACGCCCTAACAACAGAGGGCCATGGAGGCAAACGGCAGGCTTCAAGGCTCTAACAACAAATGCTTGTGGCCAGAGCAGCCTTCAAGGCTCTAACAACAAATGCTTGTGGCCAGAGTGCCTGGTCGAAGCTGCCGCAGGGCATTTTAGGCATTTGACGGCTGGCAAACGGCAGGCTTGAACGCTGTAACAACAGAGGGCCATGGAGGCAAACGGCAGGCTTCAAGGCTCTAACAACAAATGCTTGTGGCCAGAGTCCCTGGTCGAAGCTGCCGCGGGACATTTTAGGCGCATTTGACGGCTGCCAAACGGCAGGCTTGAATGCCCTAACAACAGAGGGCCATGGAGGCAAACAGCAGGCTTCAAGGCCTAACAACAAATGCTAAGCTGCCGCGTGGCATTTTAGGGATTTGACGGTTGGCAAACGGCAGGCTTGAACGCCCTAACAGCAGAGGACCATGGAGGCAAACGGCAGGCTTCAGGGCTCTAACAACAAATGCTTGTGGCCAGAGTGCCTGGTCGAAGCTGCCGGAGGGCATTTTAGGCATTTGACGGCTGGCAAACGGCAGGCTTGAACACTGTAACAACAGAGGGCCATGGAGGCAAACGGCATGCTTCAAGGCTCTAACAAGAAATGCTTGTGGCCAGAGTGCCTGGTCGAAGCTGCCGCAGGGGATTTTAGGCATTTGAGGGCTGGCAAACGGCAGGCTTGAACGCCCTAACAACAGAGGGCCATGGAGGCAAACAGCAGGCTTCAAGGCTCTAACAAGAAATTCTTGTGGCCAGAGTGCCTGGTCGAAGCTGCCGCAGGGCATTTTAGGCATTTGACGGCTGGCAAACGGCAGGCTTGAACGCTGTAACAACAGAGGGCCATGGAGGCAAACGGCAGGCTTCAAGGCTCTAACAACAAATGCTTGTGGCCAGAGTCCCTGGTCGAAGCTGCCGCGGGACATTTTAGGCGCATTTGACGGCTGCCAAACGGCAGGCTTGAATGCCCTAACAACAGAGGGCCATGGAGGCAAACAGCAGGCTTCAAGGCCTAACAACAAATGCTAAGCTGCCGCGTGGCATTTTAGGGATTTGACGGTTGGCAAACGGCAGGCTTGAACGCCTTAACAGCAGAGGACCATGGAGGCAAACGGCAGGCTTCAGGGCTCTAACAACAAATGCTTGTGTCCAGAGCGCCTGGTCGAAGCTGCCGCGGGGCATTTTAGGCATTTGAGGGCTGGCAAACGGCAGGCTTGAACGCCCTAACAACAGAGGACCATGCTAACAACAAATTTGTGGCGATAGCTGCCATAGCGCTTGGTCGAAGCTGCCGCGGGACATTTTAGGCATTTGAGGGCTGGCAAACGGCAGGCTTGAACGCCCTAACAACAGAGCGCCATGGAGGCAAACGGCAGGCTTCAAGGCTCTAACAAGAAATGCTTGTGGCCAGAGTGCCTGGTCGGAGCTGCCGCGGGACATTTTAGGCGCATTTGACGGCTGGCAAACGGCAGGCTTGAACGCCCTAACAACAGAGGGCAGTGGCCTGACGGCTGGCAAACAGCAGGCTTGAAGCCCTTAACAACAGAGGGCAGTGGCCTGAGTGCCTGGTTGAAGCTGCCGCGGAGGGTTTTAGGCATTGTCGGAGCTGGCGAACGGCAAGGTAGTGGCAAGCCAGCAAAAACAGGCTCCACACCTGCGGTGGTCCCAGGCGCCGCCCCTGCCTTGGTGAAGGCCGGGGTCGGCGGATTTGTGTTGCATTAACGTGGGTCTTCACATGCAACCCAGGAGAGAAGGAACCGGATTGCAAAAGAACTGGATCGACTCGCGGCAGGTAGCACCAGACCAAACATTCGAGAAACTCGCCCTGTTTGATCGAATTCGACCAAAGATGTAGAGAGATGTAAAGAGTATGTGAGTCATATGAGAGTATGTGTAACAGTTATGTTGTCTCCTGCGAAGGCTGAAATTTGCACGGCTGTGACGATATTGATTTATGCTGTATTCATCGGCTGTGAGCTGGAGATGCTTGGCTCCTGCGAAAGCTCATGCGAAGTCAAGATTTGTCGCCAAAACAGCTTGGGAAGCTTCAGAAACTTTGTATGTCAAGAAAGCTAGCGGTAGCACGCAATAGCTAGCTGATGTTTCTTCTTGATCTTCTTGCTTTAGTAAGGGATGTGCGGGGAAGCAACTGCCAAAAGCACATTTTTGCGCGCAACTCCTGTGTCGCAACCCCTGCGCCCCTCCCTATGGCAAGTCCTGGGCTCCATTCCACCTGGATTAAAACCTACGGGCCCAACAATATTTGGGAATGTTCCAGCTTTTCTTATTTTTCCTTAAGATCTTTAAGATTTTGTTTCTCCTTTCTTATCCTTGGGTTCACCAGGGTACCAGGGTTTTGACCCATAGCCCATAGCCATATCATGCGGCTTTCCAGGTTTTGCCACTTTCCAACTGCTTAGCTTTCGTTCCTTGGGACGCAGCTGTTGAATGCAATGCGCTCAATGTTCGGACAGTTGGAACACACTCAACATTTGAAACAGTTATGAGGATTGAGACCAATCATCCGAATGCAGCCCCTGAGCTTTCAGTGGACCCTTGTCACAAAAGCAGCAGTGCTTGACTTTTTTCAGTTGTGGAAGCTCAAACTATAGCTGGATCACGGAAGACGTGAAACATCATGGAGCAGTAGCGATTAGTGCTGGTCCAGTCTTTGTTTGAAACTTGTTTGTCGCACTGAGCCAGTGCGAGACCAGGTCTTTCTCATCTGCCACGCGTGGAACTTAAATGCATAGCTTGGGTTCTAGCTCATGTCCAAGTAGAAAGTAGTACCCCACTCAACCAACTCAGCTTTAGAATGGCTGACTTCCGGCAATCAGTGGCAGAGGTCATTTTCAATGTGGTGTTTGTGGCAGAACTTATATTGAGACTGCGATCTGTTGGAATCAGGCCTGGCCTTCTTCGTGTCCTTAGCAAGTTCTAATTGTAGAGCTTCGCACACCGGCGGTGCCATAAGGGTTATGTATAGTAGTGTGAGCGTTGGTGTTGCTCATGTGCTCAGCGCGTGCGCGCAGGTGCAGAGCACAGTATGATGTGCTTTTCATACCGCAGCTTGTAACACATCTTTTTGTCGCATTTTTGTGGTGCTTGTGCTTTTGCTTGTGCTTGTGCTTGTTCTTGTTCTCGTTCTTGTTCTTGTTGTTCCTGCAACATATCTTATTTCTTCATTTTCCCGAGAGCGTCTGAGCAAAGGGTTCTTCTAATAGTGGGGGTCTGTCAAATATTTTCACATCTTCACATCTTCACATCACATCTTCAATTCTCATATCTTCTCATTCTCAAATCCTCACATCTTCACATCCTCACATCTTCACACCCTCACATCTTCACATCTTCTCATCATCCTCACATCTTCAAATCTTCACATCCTCACATCCTCACATCTTCTCATCTTCACATCTTCACATCCTCACATCACATCTTCACATCTTCACTTCACATCTTCACATCATCTTCACATCTTCTCATCTTCAATCTGCTCATCTTCACATCTTCTCATCTTTACAACTTCTCATCTTCACATCCTCACATCCTCACATCTTCTCTCATCTTCACATCTTCACATCCTCACATCACATCTTCACATCTTCTCACCTTCAAATTTTCTCATCTTCACATCTTCACATCCTCAGATCTTCACATCCTTACATCTTCACATCTTCACATTCTCTCTTGCCCTTTTGCTCTCTTGCGCTCTTGCTCTCTTGCCCTCTTCTTTTTCCTTCTTTTCTATTTCTGTCTTAAGGCGCGGGGCAGTGCCAACGAGACGGCACGAAACGCAACCCTTTCGCACGAAACGAGGTTCGATCGCCAAAAACTGAAGTAACATTGCGATTTTGAAGTGTCCGCGACAACCCTTTGGCACGAAACGAGGTTTGATCGCCAAAAACTGAGGTAAAATTGCGATTTTGAGCGTGCCGCGACAACTTTTTCGCACGAAATGAAATTCGATCGCCAAAAACCAAAGTAAAAATGCGATTTTGAAGTGTGCCGCCACAACCCTTTCGCACGAAATGAGGTTTGATCGCCAAAAACTGAAGTAAAATTGCGATTTTGAGTGTGCCGCGACTTCGCACGAAATGAAGTTTGATCGTCGAAAACTGCAGTAAAAAATTGCGATTTTGAAGTGTGCCGCGACAACCCTTTCGCACGAAACGAGTTTCGATCGCCAAAAACTGAGGTAAAATTGCGATCTTGAGTGTGCCGCGACAGCCCTTTCACACGAAATGAGGTTTGATCGTCGAAAACTGAGGTAAAATTAGTACTTCTGTGTGTAAAAAGTGTCTGTGTGTAAAAGCATTTGTGTGTAAAAGCGTCTGTGTGTAAAAGCGTCTGTGTGTAAAAGCTCCTGTGTGTAAAAGCTTCTGCGCGTAAAAGCTTCTTTGTGTAAAAGCTCCTGTGTGTAAAGCTTCTGTGTGCAAAAGCGTCTGCGTGTAAAAAGCTTCTGTGTGTAAAAGGTTCTGTGTGTAAAAGCTTCTGTCTGTAAAAGCTTCTGTGTGTAGAATCTTCTGTGGGTAAAAGTGCGTCTGCGTGTAAAAGTGTCTGGGTGTAAAAAGCGTCTGTGTGTAAAAGCGTCTGCGTGTAAAAGTGTTTGAGTGAAAAAGTGTTTGAGTGTAAAAGCTTCTGTGTGTAAAAGCGTCTGCGTGTAAAAGTGTCTGTGTGTAAAAGCGTCTGTGTGTAAAAGCGTCTGCGTGTAAAAGTGCCTGTGTAAAAAAAGCTTCTGTGTGTAAAAGCTTCTGTAAAAGTGCCTGTGTGTAAAAGCGTCTGTGTGTAAAAGTTTCTGTGTGTAAAAGCTTCTGTGTGCCAAAGCGTCTCCGTGTAAAAAGCTTCTATGTGCAAAAGTTTCTGTGTGCAAAAGCGTCTGTGTGCAAAAGCTTCTGTGTGTAAAAGCTTCTGTGTGTAAAAGCTTCTGTGTGTAAAAGCGTCTGTGTGTAAAAGTTTCTGTGTAAAAGCGTCTGTGTGTAAAGCTTCTGTGTGTAAAAGCTTCTGTGTGTAAAAAGCGTCTGTGTGTAAAAGCTTCTGTGTGTAAAAGCGTCTGTGTGTAAAAGCGTCTGTGTGTAACAACTTGTGTGTGTGTGTGCGTAAAAGGTTCTGTGTGTAAAAGCTTCTGTGTGTAAAAGCGTCTGTGTGTAAAAGTTTCTGTGTGCAAAAGTTTCTGTGTGTAAAAAGCTTCTGTGTGTAAAAGCTTCTGTGTATGAAAGTTTCTGTGTGTAGAATCTTCTGTGGGTAAAAGTGTCTGTGTGTAAAAGTGTCTGTGTGTAAAAGCTTCTGTGTGTAAAAAGCTTCTGTGTGTAAAAGCTTCTGTGTGTAAAAGCTTCTGTGTGTAGAATCTTTTCTGGGTAAAAGTGTCTGTGTGTAAAAGTGTCTGTGTGTAAAAAGCGTCTGTGTGTAAAAGCGTCTGCGTGTAAAAGTGTCTGTGTGTAAAAAGCATCTGTGTGCAAAAGCATCTGCGTGTAAAAAGCTTCTGTGTGTAAAAGGTTCTGTGTGTAAAAGCTTCTGTCTGTAAAAGCTTCTGTGTGTGTAAAAGTGTTTGAGTGTAAAAGCTTCTGTGTTTTAACAGCTTCTCTGTGCACAAGCGTCTGTGTGTAAAAGCTTCTGTGTGTAATAGTGCCTGTGTGTAAAAAGCTTCTGTGTGTAAAAGCTTCTGTGTGTAAAAGCTTCTGTGTGTAGAATCTTCTGTGGGTAAAAGTGCATGTGTGTGTAAAAAGCTTCGGTGTGTAAAAGGTTCTGTGTGTAAAAGCGTCTGCGTGCAAAAGCGTCTGTGTGTCAAAGCGTCTGTGTATAAAAGCGTCTGTGTGTAAAAGTGTCTGTGTGTAAAAGCTTCTGTGTGTAAAAGTTTCTGTGTGCACAAGCGTCTGTGTGTAAAAGCTTCTGTGTGCAAAAGTGCCTGTGTGTAAAAGCTTCTGTGTGTAAAAAGCTTCTGTGTGTAAAAGCTTCTGTGTGTAGAAGCTTCTGTGTGTAAAAGCTGCTGTGTGTGTGTGTGGGTTTGTGTGTGTTTGTGTGTATATATGTGTAAACACTTTTCCCTGCGCGTGTCAGTCTTTGAGGGCCTATCAGCATATCTGTATGCGTGTACTTTTCACATCTTTAATGACCTTCTATACAGCATACCTTGTCTGTTCTCTTGCAACTAAAGCCCTGGCATCTTCACATCTTCTTATCTTGACATCTACACATAATGAACATATTCACAGGATCTCAAGTAACATTCTCATGAACATATTCATGCATTTGGCAACAACGCAAACTTTCCCTTCTTGGTCATATTATCAGATCTGCGCCTAGTGACCCTATGAGACAAGTTCTGTTTGAAAAAGGAACTTTAATTCCAAGATTGGAATTTCGTAAGCGGCCCGGAAAACCTCGACAACAATGGTTAACAACAACATATGATGATGCTTATCAAACTCTGAACCAGCCACACCCATTTGACATAGATAATCCTGCGCATAGACAGCTAGTCAACGACCTAGCTTGCCAGAGAATTGGAGTCTTCTCGTGATCCATCACCGAAAATCGTCACCGAAATCATCACCGAAAATTGTGGCAAATCGTCACCGAAAATCGTCACCGAAAATCATCACCGAAAGCAAAGGGCTTTCTCCCTGCCCTGCCAATATCACAGTGGGTATTGGGATTACTTTTGTCTCACCCTTGACATCTTTGAGTTGTTTCTAATTTCATGTTTGTCTCCTACACCAACGTTTTTGACATGGCACTGCAAGGTAGAGATCAGTTTCACCCCCCTGGCACAGTATTTATGCATCATTACGTTGGATTCTGCGCTCAGCCTGTCTGGCCTGCGCTTGGCAAAAAAATATTCATGCAAGTCTTTGGCGTCTGCACATCATACAACTACATTGCTTTTCCCACGTAATGCTTATAACATGGCAAAAATCCGGGGCACGGTGCGGGGCACCGAGGGTGGCACGGTCAGGGGCTGGAGATCAAAAAAGTTGGTGCTTGACCGCTCAAAAACTAGGACATCTGGTGCTTGGGATAGCTCACTAGCGCGGTCTAATGCATGTCACAACTTGGAGATGCTTCGTGGGTAGTGTTGAAGTACATCCTGGCAGAAGTTAGTACCCAGGTACTACCCAGGAATCGACCTGACAGTTGCGCCAAGCATTATAGACGCCAAACCGTTTCGGTGACACTTACGATAAGCATTATAGTTCTGCAATGCTTAGCATAACTGTTCCAGGATTCCTGGGTAGTACCTGGGCTGTGTCTGGGTAGTCGTGGGAAGTCCTGGGCAATCCTGGGCGGTTCTGGGTTAAGAATCTGATAGCCGAACCCCTTATGGTCAAAGGAACCCAAACTTGGACATTGCAAAAGTCAAATTCTATTTCCACAGCACTTTAGTTCCAGAACCATGAAAGAACATAGAATTAGCGCCCAGGAACCCAGAATTAGCGCCCAGGAACCCAGAATATGATTTTCACGTTATAAGCATTACATGGGTCAATCAACAACTACATAACACATCTGAGTACCTATACACCTACTCGCTCTCGGGCCAACCATCGTCTAGTTGTGGGCCCTAAAAATCATCACATAGTGGGTGTTTTCGCATTTTTTTGACACTCCCGGAGCCAAAAAAAACACCGTAAATACCGCTGTTTTTTGCGCCTTGGAGGCCCAAAACCACGGTATTTACGATGTTGTTTGCCTCTGGTAGCAAAATCGCGGTATTTACAGTTTGTGCCCGTGCCGAGCAAAAGCATTGGTATTTACGCAGTTTTCATCATGTTGCAAGATGTAGTTTCTATATGCGAAAAGGACAAAAACACTGTATTTACGATGTTTTTGCTTCCCGAGCGCGGCGAAATTGCCAAAAAAAATGTTACGGGATTTAGGGCTTACGCCCGACAGCCGGCCAGGGGCCCACTTGAGGGTAAAGGATCATAAATAGATTAGATTATCAAGAAGAATTGAGGGTAAGTGAAGGAGCGCAAATATATTATAAAGAAGCGCATGGGGAAGCCAGAAAACAATAGAAAACACCGTAAATTGTGGGATGTTTGTAGGGTCGGCGGTTGTGGTTGCTGTTGCTGTTGCTGTTGCTGCTGCTGCTGTTGTTGTTGTTGTTGGTTGTTGTTGGTTGTTGTTGGTTGTTGTTGGTTGTTGTTGGTTGTTGTTGGTTGTTGTTGGTTGTTGTTGGTTGTTCTTGTTTGTTGTTGTTTGTGGTTGTTTGTGGTTGTTTGTTGTTGTTTGTTGTTGTTTGTTGTTGTTTGTTGCTGTTTGTTGTTGTTTGTTGTTGTTTGTTGTTGTTTGTTGTTGTTTGTTGTTGTTTGTCGCTGTTTGTCGCTGTTTGTCGCTGTTTGTCGCTGTTTGTCGCTGTTTGTCGCTGTTTGTCGCTGTTTGTCGCTGTTTGTCGCTGTTTGTCGCTGTTTGTCGCTGTTTGTTGCTGTTTGTTGCTGTTTGTTGCTGTTTGTTGTTGTTTGTTGTTGTTTGTTGTTGTTTGTTGTTGTTTGTTGTTGTTGTTGTTGTTGTTGTTGTTTGTTGTTGTTTGTTGTTGTTTGTTGTTGTTTGTTGTTGTTTGTTGTTGTTTGTTTGTTGTTGTTTGTTGTTGTTTGTTGTTGTTTGTTGTTGTTTGTTGTTGTTTGTTGTTGTTTGTTGTTGTTGTTTGTTGTTGTTTGTTGTTGTTTGTTGTTGTTTGTTGTTGTTTGTTGTTGTTTGTTGTTGTTTGTTGTTGTTTGTTGTTTGTTGTTGTTGTTGCTGTTGCTGTTGCTGTTGCTGTTGTTGTTGCTGTTGTTGTTGTTGTTGTGGTTGTGGTTGTGGTTGTGGTTGTGTCCCATCCGCAAGGTCTGTAGTAGGCGCATCTTGAGGCGAGGTTGGCCCAGCTTGCGGCTATGCTGGCCCCTCTTGGACCGGCTTGGGGCCATCTTAGGGGCTATGTTGGCCCATCTTGGGGCTAGGTGCGCCCATCTTGGGGCTATGTTTTTGCGCCCGTTTTGGGGCTTATGTTGGGCCATGTTGACAAAACTTGATCCACAAGATCGAAAAAATGGGAAAGCCACAAAACACCGTAAATTGCGGTATATCTGATAGGTCGGAACCCCCAAGGCACGGTCGGCGGCAGGGGGGGAAGGGCTTCCAAAGCTACCCGCTGCCAGCGCCTAACGTCGCTTTCTGAACCAACAAAACACTTTTTTTTCTGAAACGACAAGAAACTAGCTTCAGATTACCAGCTTCGGGCCTCCAAACGTCCCCTTGCTTCTGTTCTCCCCTTTGCTGCTCTGTCAGTAAGCTTCTCGAAAATTTCGAAACTAAAATCTCGAAACTTGCTGCTGGCACTGTCTTCTCTAACGCGCCCCCCCTTGCTGTCGCCGGGGTCGGCGGATTTCTCGCTTGTTTCTTCGAACAGTTGCTGGACAGACCCGAGGAATCACCCCATGATATACAGCCAAATAATACATTCTAGAGACACCTCAACACCTTGAGTCTGCACGCGTAGCCGTACACGCGCCTCCAAATACCCCAAAATAAGCTTGGCAACGGGCGCCCGCGCGGACCCAATGGACACAGTTTAACCTTTTTTTGTTTTTGTTTTTTTTCGCATTTTAAATGTTTGATAGAAAAATAGAGACTACCTGACTCGCAGGGCTTCAATTTTAAACGATGTCCTAGCAGCAATCACAAGAAACAATCTTAAACGGGGTTTGTGGGTGTTGCACTGTGAACATCGCCAGAACATGGTATCAGAGACCTTTCTACTGGAGAGGTTCTAACTTCTTACTATATTTGTGCATATGGCATAGCCGCAGCAAGTAAAAGGGAAGAAACCTAGTTGATACCAGTAGTGTCCTGCAGCGGTAGTTGAGCACTAAAGAGAAGTGTTTAAAGGATGCTCGTTTCGCTACAGTGGCAGTGCCATTTTGCCCAGAATCGTCGCACCAGTGAGTTCGATGTTGTGTTGGCACGGTTGTATTGACTGACCCCGGCCAAGCGAAACAGTTCCATATTAATGCGTTTCCTTTGCTTTTCAAGTCTACAGGCTCTTATCGGAAACCAATCCTGCCTCCAGGCAACTTCTGATAACACCCTTTCTCCAGAGAACTTCGCTCAACCTCGTCCACCAACCATCACCAACCAGTTCCCTTTTCCTTCACAATATCCCTTTGCCTGAATCGCTTATGTTTTCTGAAGTCTTTCAACATTGTGAAAAGGGCAGTGTTATGAATCGATGTTTAGAAAGAGAGCCGGCGAAAGCCTAGATTCCGCTTGAAATCCCCCAGATTCTTACCAGGTACTGCTCTCCATTCAATCCGGTGGGTTTCTTTGCTCTTTGGCTTTACATTGTGGAGAATGTTTGTTCAGTGAAAAACCGCATCTTATTTTGGATTGCAGTGGTTGTAGATGGAGACACCTCAGGATACCTGTATTATCCTCATCGGCACTGGTGAGACTTTGTTCTCAGTTGTATTGGCAATCATGTCACGGACTGAAGAAGGAGTGACTTGGTGGCAATTTGCAGCCGGTCTTATCTTGAGACACAAAGTCCTGCATACATTCTTGTTTGATCTTGTTTGTCAATTTACTTATCATGGTTTGTATATGGTTGTGCGTTAGCAAAAGAAAGCTGCATCTTGTATGTCTTTGGGTATGCGCACCCGCGAATTAGAAATTGTGCATCTATGGCTGGGGTCGCGATTGTGGTCCTGGTTCCCTCAGTGGGCTGGTGTGCGGCGTGTCATGTTTGTTGTGGTTCGCAGTATACTGTGACGGCCTGCATTTGAGTGATTTGGATGCATGTTGGTGCGAAGCCCTCCAACTTCCAGCCCCAGAACCGGGATGTTGACCAGCAGATCACAGTAGAACTTGGTTCAATCATGTTCAATCATTTATGAATTGTGGAAACCGTAAATTTTGTGACACACGTTGTTTTCAAAAGCATCAAAAAGGGTAACAGCCAGTTGACTTTGCTTGATTGTATCTGATGAAGAGTTGCCTAGCTCCATTCACCTGTAAATCATTTAGGAGTCCCCAAATCATTTGTGTCATTCCGCATTTCAAGATGTTTCACTGTTAAACGCGCACAGAAACTTCATCCGTGCTCCTTTTGGAGTATCCTTTGAAGGCAGTTTGAACAACACTCCATCTATATATACGCATATCTACCCGTGGTTCCGGGATGCGTGATCTTGTGAAATGCTGCTTATTGTTGCGTGGGCGTTTGCGCTGTTTGTGTGCAATTCAGAAATACCGTGAGATTTGCAGACTTTGGATGCAGAGCCACCGCTGGCAAAACCAAACCAAACTTCAAACCAGTCACTGAGTGATCCATACTGATCCCACAAGCTCCTTGCAGGGTGATGGTTCGTCGGTGCTGGCAATTGCTGGTGTCATGCGTATCCTCCGCTTGCTGCGGCTTGCTAGGCCAGAACGCGAGAGCCAGTATGAGCGAAGATGAGCTCAGCAAGTTAGAGGAAGTTGAATTAATTTGAATTATGTGTTGAAGTTTGTTGAATATGTTCGGAATGAGTTTCCTCTTGCAGAAATGCACCGCAGAAACTGCCGTCCGTGAAAATCCATCAAAGTAGTTGTCTTCTGGGAGGCTTCTGCGAGGATTTTTGATATGCCACGAGTTGCGTCTCCTTGTGACAGGTGGCTTTTTGATAGTTGGCAGATGTTGGCAGCCACGCTTGTTAACTGATTCCAGATGCAGATGTGGAGTAGGTGTTGTTTTCTGCATTTTTGTCATCACTTCCAGGTATGATGCTGGCATTGCCAACAGTAGTGTGGGCTGGAGTTCTCTTTGGCATTGTGGTGTACCTTGGGACGATGCCCCTTGACCCAGTTTGATGTGTCATGGTGTTGCAAATAACTTCAGAATCTTCCGGCAACTCCAGAACAATAATACTGTAGCCCTGAGCAGCAAATCTCAAGATTGCATTCCTCTGACGCGTCTTGAAGCCGGTAGCTGGAACTAGATAGCTTTGCCTGGTCTTGTTTTGATAGGTCTTTCTTTTTGTAGATAACTCTAGAAACGCCGAGCCGAAGAATAATGAGAGAGATGGAAAATTCAGTAAAGCAGCCGGTTTGGTTGACATGTCTTATATTATTATTGTGTTATTATTATGTCCTTTGTTTCTTGAGCCCCAAAGCTTGAGGTTCAGTGTGATCCTTCTTGGCAACATGAATGAGTTGCGCCAATACTTTGGTACATTTGGCCTTGCCCTTTGGAGTCACTTTGTGATCGTGACAATGGAGACCTGGCCAGATGTTGCTGATGCCGTACTGGAAGTTGCCAGTCCACTTTGGGGAGTGTACTTTGTGGTGCCTGGACTTGAATTTAAATGATTTTAAAAAGGTTGCTGTAGGATGCGATGGGCTGAAATTGCGAACATCAATGTGATCTGCTCAGCATGCTCTAGTAGTTGCCTCAAGATGCCTCAAGCCACCAGACTAGTCAGATGGCCACTTCCAAGCACTGCCAAGGAATAGAAACCCCCTTTGCTTGGATTTAATGTGATGTCATATGACGTAGTCATGATGAGAGCACTCAAAGGGTCTACAAAGTAAAATGAGCAAAGCAGCAGAAAGCAGCAAAGGTATTTATTTGTGTCTCCAGCATGTCCTTAATGAATTTGGTGACTGGCGTGATTGCGGAAAAGCCCCTTGGCGCTGAATTATTGTTTGGGCAAAATGAGGCTAAAGGGATGCCACGTGCCGTTATTACGCTTGTAGCAAAAGGAGTCAAAAGGACGTGGACCGAGTGGTCACTATCCAAGTCAGGGTTCCCGGCTAACATGAGCTAACATCAGCTAACACAAGCTAACACAAATTGGTTTAAAACCCTCGAACATATTGAATAATATTTTTTGGGCCGAAGGCAAAGGCTGATGTCCTTTTTGATCCTTCTTTTTCCATGGGTTGTAAGCTGTAAGCGTTAGTTCTTCGATGTTCTTAGTGGCCAAAACCACACGTTCTCGACTCTCTTTGTTTCCTCATGTTTGTATCCCCAATTATAGTTTTGAAGGCAAACGTGTTGAAATGTGTTGAAACTTTGCTTCAACTTTCTCCTCATCATCATCCATGACTGTTTGCCATGCGCTGCCAGTCTTTTAGCATCTCTGTTAGTGGCCACCTGCTGTAATGAATTTAGTGATGTGCAATCGTAAAATTTAAAGGTCAACTCGACAGAGCCGCGACAACCTGCAGTTGTTTTTTCATGTTTTTTGCTTCATTACTTACTGCTTACATTTATTTGCTCACTAATGTCGAAGAATATTTCAGATTCTCCCAACTTCAATTTCAATCTTGATCTGGCTTCAATGTCCTTTTCACATCTTTTCACAGCTGAGTTCTTTGGTTGTGATGAATGTAAATTCTTGTAGATGGTATACTGTAGTATGATTATGATATACTTTCATATTGTAAAGGCATATAGCGTAGAGTCGTAGGCTTCTTTGCAGCGGTGAAGATTTGAAGCAATGCCCGTGACTAGCTCAGGTTGCTGACAACTACTGACGATCCAACTCCGGAAGTGCAAGTTGATGAGCTTGAGGCACTCGACAGTTTAGCTGCGATACGCTGCGTCTGGTTTGGATGGACTAAAGCTACATTTTAATGCATATTATAAGGATTTATAAGGACGAATTACATGAAGCGATTGATCTCCGAACGGGAACAGAACTATCAATACCTCTTGGGCATCATTACAAGCCTTTGACCCGGTCTCAGTTCGTAACTCCAGCTTCTGCAAAAGACAACACAGAGCAGATGGGGGCACTTGTCAAGTTGTGTCTCCTGTCGCTGAGCACAAATCACTGAAATCCTGGTACTTGCACCATATAGCATGTACTGCACTGTGTTTGAATTGTGTCATCCCGTTCATGCCTGATGCCTTCCAAAATATGAGTAATTACAAAGATACTATCAACTGTGTATACATAGCAAGCTTCAGACATAAGGTGTTCATCCATCCAAACAATTTGACGAACAACAAAGCCCTGCACGGCCTGCCAGCTGACAGTTTCCATTCACCAAGAATATGAGATTGGAATATGAATATGCTGCATACATATGCATATAATATAATATTATATATATATGAATCATATTTATGTGTGTGTGAGTATTATGCGCGTGTTCCTGTGTGACAGTGTGTGTGTGTGCGTGTGTATGTTATTTTTTTTGTGTGCTTGTGTGTGTGTATGTGTGTGTGTGTGTTCGCTTGGAACATCCAACACTTTGTTTTCGCCCGTGAATGTCAAAAACTTCAGAAGGATGCACACAGGACCTTGTTAATTCTATGCTAGATTCCTGCATTTAAAATGTAGTTCGTATATGTTCGTATCATTTCGCGTATTTAGCCGTTTGGTGACAGGCGGTGAATGAGCGTACGGACGCACATAAACGCAAAGTGCAATGATATGTGAGTATCATTGAATCCTGGTGGTCATGGACAGACTGACGCAAAGCACTGGGTGTAGATGTGCCATAGACAACTAGACAAGCAACGCAAAAAGATGAAGCTTGAGCACATTGGCTTCGTCGCTTGCACAGTCCAGGGACCACAATCTGGATCTAGCATGATCTAGCCAGTCTAGCCTAGCTATTGGCCTGCATGCTGAACCCAAAGAATACTGTACTGCTGACTTGAATTTCAATTTTCCCCAGCATAGTTGTACATTATCCACTGATACTCGTAGGAACATAGAGGTCTTTGAAAGTTGGAATTGCCTTTCCAACATTTCTTGGGCCCGAAAGTGCAGTAGGCGCCCAGTAGGCGCTTGAATCGCTTGAAAATCTTGAAATTGGGCAGGTCTTCCAGAAGGAGAAAGACGCTTTGAAAGCGGACCTGCAAGAGGTTTTGCAAGACGAAGATCAAATAGGTGTGTAGGGCTGAGATCACCCTTCTGGGTTCCAGGGCACTTGCAGATTTCTTGACATCAACGAGTTCTTTGAGCTCAGCTTGTGATCCATGAATCGGAAAGGGGTATTTCTATGTACTGTATTTCTGGAATGAGAGATAGAGACTTCATCCATTTCTTTCCGCGCAGTAGCGACAGCCACTGGAATGTGAGATCTTGAACGCTTCCTTCTAGAGCTTTGTCTTTAACGGATTGCCCTAGTCCAGTTATTTTTTTCGATCATTTGCAAGCGCTACTGCCAATCATTCGAACAAGGGCGGCCAATCACAGAATTCTCTGTCTTTCCAGCTTGTCACGTGGCGAATCTGCACGCAATGGTCACATCGTGTATAGATTGTGTCTGTGAAGTAGGACTCTTCGGCTATTGCGCAGTAGCCTTGAAGAGTCCAGCGAATAGGAAGCTTGCGTTTCTGTTTCCACCTTAGAGTGCGATCGTTTGCGCACATTTGCCTCAGGAGGCAGTCCCTCTATAGACATCTACAGACTATATATCCCTTCCAAGAATGATCGTCAGTCTTCCAAACATGGTTCGATTTGGCCAGATATGCTGACATGTTGTAAGGCTTTTGGTTCCAGGCGCTGCATATGATGCTCCGAATCTTAAAGAATTGCTGACCGTTGGGACAAAGTGCGGATTGACTCGCGCCCTTTGTCCATAGCACTTCTTTCTTCGCCTGCTAATCATGTTAGGCTAAAACACCGACATGTTGGTATTCCGCAAAACCCAGCTCTCAGTAATCTTCTGCGTGCTTGTGCTTTATTTGCTGTACCAGAATATACTAGAGTCTTCCTACCCCTTTCGACGTGAAGCTTCCAAATACAATGGGGGTGCTCCACTGTTGAGGGTATAGTCGTAGAGTGTGAATGCAGGGAGCTTGTTTAAACAAAGGCTACTCAGCTTGAAGCAAAGGTATTCCTGGACGATATTGGATGCTAGCTTGGTTTAGTTGGTCTTAGCGCAAGAGCTCAACGGTTTGCATATTTGCATTGTTTGAATCTCTTCAAGCATGGTGAATCCTTTGACCACTTCTTTTCCATTCCACTTGCCAAGCTGAGGGTGATCATTTCTTCTTCGTCTTGGAGTCACCAAAGATAAGAGCCTGGCTCAACAAGCTTCAGGCCATGCTGAGAGACATGTGCTGTAAGTTCGCAGAGAGAAAGAGATGGGCAAAACTCGTGAAAAGTCAGTGGGTTCTAGAGTCTGGTGTTATGTGATGGCTTGAAATACTGTAGATGTGCTTCATATTTCAGATATTTCATGATATTTCAAATTCTATACTTTCTACATCTTTCTCCGAAGGTATCTGCTGAGCTGCCAACGAACGACCTCTTTGCCTTGCTTTGTTGTGAGAAGCGAGAATGGTTGACTTTGGATGAGCTGGTGGATGGCATTTTCTCACTGAGGTCACATTGATTGGAGGGAAAGGGACTCGTTGCAGCTCCTTTGCAATGTCAACCCCGGATTGAGAAGCCACTGGGTGGGCTGTTTAACTTGATTTAGGGTTACCAGTTGAGTTGCCAATGATCACTATTTTGGCAGAACCCCCCTAATTAATCAGTCAGGGTTTATTACTGTAATCCATATCAATCCTACAAATCTATTATACAAGATGTTCCAAGCGGCCACCAGAACCTGGATGTTCCTGGAAGGAGCACATGCGGAGCATGCTGGAAATTGTATGACATGTTGCTTGAAATTGATTGAAATTATGAGAGTATTGCGTTGATTTAGAACCCTGCTGATGGCTCGCGATGCGGATTCTGGAGTGTGCAAGCCGATGCCCAATCAAATTAGACCAATGTAGCTATGTAGGATCAATATGAATCAGTTGTGCAGCGTGCTTGTGTCTGTGTATTGTTTTGTTTACTGTTTGTTTGCATGTTTGTGATGTGCATTCCTTTGTGCGCTGCCTGGAAAGACCCAAATCGTAAGAGTTGAGTGCATTCCCTGATATCTCCCGTATCCATGAACGCTCGAATGATTCGGATGATTGTAAGGGAGGGCTATTTATTTTTCTTTGTTTTTTTCGCGGCAGGTTTTGGATTTTTTTTGGGGTTCCTGGTTCTATGCTTTCCAGTTTCTCTGATTTTCTGCTTTTCCTGCTTCTCTGCTTTTCTGCTTTTTGCTTTCCCTGCTTCTCTGCTTTTCCTGCTTCTCTGGTTTCCCTGCTTCTCTGCTTTTCCTGCTTCTCTGCTTTTCTGCTTTTTGCTTTCCCTGCTTCTCTGCTTTTCCTGCTTTTCTGCTTTTTCCTGCTTCTTTGCTTTTCTGCTTCTCTATTTTCCCTGCTTCTCTGCTTTTGTACTTCGGTGCTTTTCTACCTCTACTATTCTACTTTTTCTTTTCTTCAGTCATGTATTTTTGCTGCTCTACTTCCTGCTCCTTTGCTTCTTTGCTTCCTGTCTTTACTGTCTCTTTGTTTTTCATTTTCTTTTGCTTTATTCTGTTCTGTTTGTATCCTAAATGAAACCCTAGAGAGACCCTAGGTGAAACCCAAAGAAACCCTAAAGAAATCCTGATAAGAAACCATACATGAAGCATCATGAAGCACTAAATGAACCCTATGAAACCATAAATGAACCCTAAAGAAACAATAAATTAGTTCTAAAGAAACCATAAATGAAAATGAAACCCTAAAGAAACTTTAAAACGACACCCTAAATGACATCCCAAAGAAACCCTAAACAGCACTCTGAAAAAAAAAACTAAATGAAACCTTAACTGACACCTTAACTGAAACCCTACATTGAAACCCTGAAGAAACCCTAAATAAAACCCTTAATGAAACCCTAAATGAAACCCTAAAGAAACCGTAAATAAAACCCTAAAGAAGCCCGAAAGAAACCCTCAATGACACCCTAAATGAAACCCTAAAGGAGCCCTAAAGCAACCCACTTGAACGTTTAGAAATCGTGAAAAGAAATCCTGATAAGAAACCCTGGAATGAAACCCTAAATAAAGAAAGCTTAAATGAACTCCTGAATGAAACCTTAAATTGAAACCCTAAAGAAACCCTAAATGAAACCCAAACTGAAACCCTAATTAAACCCTAAATGAAACCCTAAATGAAACCCTAAACGAAACCCTAAAGAAACCCTAAAGAAACCCCAATGACACCCTTAATGAAACCCTAAAGGAGCCCTAAAGGAACCCACTTGAACGTTTAGAAATCGTGAAAAGAAATCCTGATAAGAAGCCCTGGAACGAAACCCCAAAGAAAGCTTCAATGAACTCCTGAATGAAACCTTAAACTGAAACCCTAAATTGAAACCCTAAAGAAACCTTAAATGAAACCCAAAGAAACCCTAAAAGAAACCCTAAATGAAACCCTAAAGAAACCCTAAATGAAACCCCAAATGAAACCCTAGAGAAACCCTAAATGAAACCATAGAGAAGCCCTAAAGAAACTCTAAATGAACCCCCAAAGAAACCTTAAATGAGACCCTAAATGAAACCCAAACTTAAACCCTAAATGAAACCCTAAATGAAACCGTAAAGAAGCCCTAAGAAAATCATTTGAACGTTTAGAACTCCTGATAAGAAATCCCGATCAGAGACCCTACATGAAAGCGGAAAAAAAACTAAATGAAACTGTAAAGAAACCCTAACCCTAAAGAAACCCTAAATGAAACCCTAAATGAAACCCGAAATAAAACCCCAAATGAAGCCCTAAATGAAACCCTAAAGAAACCCTAAATGAAACCCTAAATAAAACCCCAAAGGAAGCCCTAAATAAAACCCTAAATGAAACCTGTAATGACACCCTAAATGAAAGCCTAAAGATCCCTCAAGAGACCCACATGAACGTTTGAAGCACCAAAATGTTGCAAATACCATGCAAATGAGAGGTTGAAATGCCAAAATGTGACAAATACCATGCAAAATGGAAGGCGAACATGGCCGAATTGAGCAAATACCATGCAAAATGCAAAGTGGCCATGCCAAAATGTAGCACCATGCAAAATGACAGGTTCTAGTTCCAAACTGTTGCAAATACAAGGCAAATGGTACCAGGAAAGAAAGCCAAAAACAAATCCAAAACCTGAGACCTGAGGCAAAAAAATACCAAAACTATTCTACACCCGATTGTAAGTCGTATTTTTGCCGATTGTATGTAATCAACTGCAATTAAGTATTTATGTAATCTGCAAAAGCTGTCCATGTACGCTGTGCCGAACCTGTCCTGTGGGTCCGATGTGCGCACTGCTCTGTGAACTTGTACGGGTCACACCTGTTTGCTGTTTGAACTTGAAAGGCATTTGGTTCTTGTACTTGACTCGACCGGTGTTCCTACTGTAGTCGAAGGTTGTGGGGTTCTATGTTGCATCTAGCCATCTGTCCTGTGCATTCTGCTGCTCCGTTGATTGCCTTGAACACTGAGTTTTCATGTTGTGTTTACCACACCTTCCGGCTTTGCTAGGTCAAAGTGAGCATTTTGAGATAGAGAGAGAGAGTCGAGATAGAGCGCTGAGCGCGCATATGTGCAGGGGATCCAGCATGCGAACCCACTCCCTCCTGTTGCAGCAGGACGACGGGTCTGAAGTGGCCCGGGGATGATTTTTTTTGCGATGGAAGAGGAAGCAACAACCACGGAGTTTCATTTGAAGGCTGAAGGTTTCCTCAGGTTGTTGTCACACTTGTGCATGCATGTATGTGTGCTGCAGTAGAATAGATCTTCGCCCCAAAAAGAACACCAGTGATGCAAATACTGCTTTTATTTGACAGTCATGATTATATGGTGTCCGCGGTTCACAATGCATAATGTACAAATATTCGTTTGCACCTTGAACCTTCTGACTGGGTGCGCATATTATTATGTGGAAGTTACCTTCTCCGTTTACTGTAGTGTATGTGCATACACATGTCTGAATGTGCGTACATTTCCGCTACGTTGCATTGTTTTGTATATATATATAATATAATTATGTGTATATATATATATATTTATTTATATATATGATATACATAGGCTTACATTGAGACTACATTACATTGCCATTAGATGACGCATACATGGCGATGTCGCCGCATCACGCAGACCGCAACACCACGCCACACCCCACCACACCATGCCATACCATACTACGCCATCTCACCTTACCACACAGTATGTAGCATATCCATCCATATCCCACGTATGTTAAATAGCTTGCGTTATTTTGAAACAGTATTCACGTTGCATGCAAGACATATGTTGAATGCATCGCAATCAGTAAATACATTGCAAACTATACGCATAAAACATGCAAGTTACAGATTAATATACATACATTGCAAACGGTACCGCAAATGGTTTCAACATGTTGCAAACAAGACATACGAGTACATTGCATGCCATTAAACTATCTGATGCTACCTGACTTTTACATTATTACATAGCCTCGCATTGCCTTGCACTGCCGTACATGTCCTTACACTGCCCTACATCACAGACATTACATGGCATGTCATCACATGATATATTGTACATTCCATTCAACTTGATTGCTTGTCATACATTTCTTAATGCATTCTTGAGTTGGGCGAGAGTTTTCCTGCTTTAGTTTGAGTATCGGATGCTAGAGTTGTATCTCTCCCATCTCTCCCAGTAGCCTTTTTGCAGGACCTTAGGCGTTATGGTCGGGAAGAGCTTGCATCTCTGGAGGTGCATCAGTGCATGTGAGAACATCATAAAACATAATAAAACACAATAAAACAACATAAAGCA